GGTTTCTCAGCAAGTACAACTTCTTTGGCAGCTGCTGGATCTGTACTAAGTAATCGCCAATAAATAAATCCTCGATCTCGTAAATCAGGATTATCAGAATCTTGAGTCGCTAAACTAAGAACTTGTTGAACTAGTTCTTGAGTATCCGTAGGTCTTTTAAGGAACAATTTAACAATTGCTGTGAGTAGTTGCAATTGAACTTGTGTATTTTCATCATGGAATCCTTCTAAGAAACTTTCAAGTAATTCATCTGCATTATCAATACGTTCTGCATATTCTCCAATAATCCATATCATAGATGCGCGTGCCTCAGGTTCATCAAGTGTATCCAAATTTTCACAAAGAGTTGAAATAATACTTTCGTACTTGTTTGGATATTTCCGGAAAATGTCTTTTATAACAACAATTGCTTCTTGAACAACATAATTTACCTAATACAACAAAAATATGTATAAGAACATCCAAACTAATAATTATTGTTTTAAGTATATTTTGAAATACCTTTGTTTGTATGAGGTCTAAAAGAGTTGAAACACATCGTTCAGCGGATGGTTCAACTTTAATGGCACAACGACCAATAGCTCTCACAGCTTTTCGTACGAAATCCACATCAACTTCTGTAGCATATTCTTTCAGTTCGGATAAAACCTGAGCTATATTAGCTTGGGAAGCTAAACGAATCATAATGTCTAACTTTTCAAGTTTAACATAAATAGGATCGTTATATTTAACAAAGAAAACTTTCATTTCATGTTTTAAAATATCTGGACGTTTTTGTACAATAAGGTTTATATTTCGCAATGCTACATATTGCACCTCGGGTTCAGAGCTAAGTAAAGTTACCAGGGGTGGAGCTAATTTTTTTGTTAATGTGCCAACAAAATCAGATTCTGATTGTAACATTTCTATTAATTTCATTAGTACCTATATAAAAAAAGAACCTATTTTTAAAGAATGAAATAATCATTTCTAATGTTAACTATAAATATTAATTTTTCACTAAATATACACCTTAACAGCAGATAGAACAACTGCTGCATTAGCATGAGCTAAACGAGGAGTAATACGTTCACAAATGCTTTGTGCTTCACGATCATCTTTTGGTGAGTAATTTGCAAGGGAGTCTAAAATAAAAACTTGACCCCATTCTGTACATTCATTGAGTGCTGTTAATAATTTATTAATAGTCTGTGCATTCATTTCAACTAGAGGTTGTCCACTAGGACTTGCTTCGTTAATTTCAGATAAAGCAGCTACTGCATTTGCAACAACCTAATATAAAAATTGAATGGAATAATAAATAATGATTTTTATGTTGATACTAAGTGAGAAATAAATTTAAGTTATTTACCATGGGATTACTATCAGACAGAAGATCTTTTAATTGATCCAGAAAGCCTTGATCTTCAACTAATGCTGCGTTAATATCGTAAAGCTTGGCCACACAAACAGCTGCAGTTTTACGAACATATGGATCCTCATCCTTCAGGCATTTTCGCAGTGGTTCACAGAGGTACTCAGTAATCTTGTCCACGCGTATACAACCCATTGTGCGAACTGCTAATGCTCGGATCAGCGGATTTGGGTCCTCGCAATCCTGCGCAAAAATCGGGCAAGCCAGGGATTCAAGTCTAGTCACAGCAGTGGCTATCTATCTCAACCCATGAATTTTAACGAAGTAGAAAGTGGTATGGTACCTTTGTCATCGGAGATGTCGCTAGCTCCTTTTGCGTGTCAGAACGAAAAAGGTCAAATTGGTCACCGTCACCATTTTGATTAATTGTTAAATATTATACTTATCAACCATTTAATGTAATATGATGCAGAACTGATCATTTTTTAAAGAGCACGAGATATTCATCTTAAGATTTTTCTGTTTATAGTTCTTTACTTTTTATAGCGATTTATAAATTAAGATTAAATTATAAATTTCACATTAAGAGAGTTCAGTGTCATGCACATAAGAATATGTTACATGATATTTATTCAAACATTTAAAAATGTATACATCAAAGTGTTCATAGTAATTGCATTATGAAATATTAATTTTAACACTGATTACATTTATCAATGAAGATTAAAATTTTGTATAAAGAACAAAACACTTTGCGTGCAGATAGTGTAAATATATGCACTGCATACAAGCAGCAATTTATAATGCAGTCATACATATAAAATGGACATTTAAGGAACTGGTTTATTCATGCTGTTTACACGGTAAACATTATATCTAAAAAATAAATTTTTGATTCTACTATTGAGATTATTTTACATCTAATCTTCTTGTAAGACCAATTAAATCCTAAATATAATTATATATAGCTGTGTTATTATACAACTTTTCTATAAGCTGTTTAAATATAAATAACATTTTTATGGCTTGTAGAAAAAGTTCCATGCTCAATTTTGAAAATCAGCATAAAATATATTAGTGCATTAATATTAAAAAAAACTAACACATATATTGTGAGCTCCTTCAGTGAATTTTTTAATAATTTTGCTAAATATTACAACTGTTATAATTCCATTCCTATTTTCAATGCTTAACTGAAGAAAAATACTGGAATTTGGTGGTAACAACTCACAAACCAATAAAAAGATTATTAATATATTCTTATGTAATTTAAGATATTTAAGATGAGTGCCATATTTCATTCAGCCAAATTCCAGTCTCGTGCCCTTTGAAAAATAAGCAATTCATTAAGAAAAAGAAATAATACATTCCGTCCCATAACGCAGACAGCTCTGTGCAAACTGATGTAATTTGCAAAGCACGGTCTGTACATGATGTGAGGCAGGCTGCAAAATTAATGTCAAATTTACTTGAAAAATTTTTAGAACTTAAAAAGAATTACTACACAAAGTTTTTCCAGCTTGCCTCTTTGCAGACAGAGACTCTCAACATCATCCAAGTGTCATTAAAATATATAGAGGGTAAAAGTGCATTAATAAAACATAGTAAGTATTTATTAAGTTTTTAAGCTACATTACCTTAACAAATGTGTTGACAGCCATAATGGCCATATCTGGTTGACTTTTGGCATAATTCATCAGGTACAAATACACCAGCTTTTTGAGTTCTAAGTTATCTGTTTGCATACAGTTGACCACGTCAGGGAAAAGTGCTGATACATCTTTACCCACTGTCATGGATGCAATTACCTAAACATAATTAATATTATATTTGAATAAGTAATAAATAAATAATAAAAAAATATTCACAATAAAGTTGAAAATAACTATACTGACTGTGATTAATTGTTAAAATAATATTGCTATTAATTAAGTAAAGATACCACTATAATTTATGCTTAGTTTAATAAAAATGAATATTTCAAACAATTCATTATAGATTTGTGTTCTTGTAGAAAGAAGATGCCTAAAATGTACTGTCTAACGTAATGCATATACTATAGTATTATTAAAATTTCTCAAATTTGAGAAATTATTGTATGCTTTTACTTCATCCTTTTCTTTGGTCAGCATGAAACAGATTTACCAAAAAAAATTGTATGTTTATAACTTATAAATGTCTAAAGCAAAATATTTTGATATTAACAATGATTTTTATGACTTACCTTTTATAAAAATATATTGCCTTTTAAAAGCATACCAATGCTGCATAAAACTACTCAACTATTCATGAAATATAAACGTTTAATTGAAAGAATATCAAATTGTCATATGTTTTGTTATTGCTTGTAACTTATTTCCATTTTATACAAAATTATGAATAATTAGGACATTTTAACAATAAATTAACTCACCTTTTTCACAGCTTCTTTCTTTTTTTCCTTTTTGTCATTGTTCAACTCTGATTTAAGTTCAAATATCTCCCCCTTCTTAGTAGTAGTGAAATATTTTGAATCTGTCATTTTAGATTTTTGAAAGAGCTTTCCACAATAATATTGTTGATAATTAAATCAACACTCTGAAAACAAATAGCGATGTACTGCGAATGCAATAATATCGTGTGAAAATTAAATAAGGATTCAATATAGCAAACCATAGCTTGGATCAATGTTCAAGATATATGTATATATAGTAGCATTCTACTAAACTAACTATAATATGAGATATTTAGAATTTTGTCACCTTCAATAAAAAATCAAAGTATTCTTTATATTTTTATTAAAAATATATAAACTACCATATAATAACGATCCATAATTAAAAATCTTGTACACCCTTATTTTCTATATGCTTTCGTTTTACGAGGTTTATGAAATTCTAATCATTAACATTTACGACAATTGGTACGATTACTAAGAAATGTTACTAACAGAATATTTCCTTTTGATATACCTTAACTATTTTAAGCAATCGAAAATATATGAGAAATTATCCACTGACAGAACATTGACAATTCTACGAGCAAAACGCCCTCCAATCATGGAGTAAAAACTCTCACGATCACGTTCGTATATGTAATACGTAGACACAGATCCGATGATTTGTCAGACCTTTTGTGGTGGGAGACACGGTCGTATATGTACGCGGCGTGGTTTCATCCGATAGTCTTAAACCATAGACTACCTTGTATATAAGTAACGACTTTACTTTTTCTGTATGTAACGAGAACTAATAGATTATAAATTGATTTTTTATTTGGAAAATGTATAAATTTGAAATAAAAGTAAGTTGTTCTTCGAACAAAGACGCTTTAATAAATATGAAGCAATTTTTATTTTAATCCCCATTATTACAAAATTTGAAACACTACTTTTGAATATATATTTAAAATTCATAACAATATGAACAAAGTATCAAATGAATTGCAAGTACGTAATTTGTTTCTTTTATTAAATTTAAACATTCCGTTTATCTGAAAATCTATTCGTGGTATGTGCAACGCGAGCATAAAAAAGATTATATATTTCATATAAAAAGTGCTATAAATGCGAGAATAATTTCAACTAAAAATTAAAGATATAGGGACTTCTTTTAATTTTACTAATAAACATAGCAGAATTACTAAACAAATACTACATGAGATTTAAAAAAAAAAACATGCCCTTATTTTAATTCGCGTTCTATTCTTTAACAAGCAAGGTCGTAACTTTTCCAATTATAACTGTAATTATACTAACAATAATTCGCAGAATAGGTACTTCATCTAATATTTTAACATATTTTCTGTTCTATATATATCCATCTAAAATTAAAAACATAATAAACAAAATAAAAAATGTAACGTTTAATTGAGTATGTTATGATCTTTTATCTTCCAGCTGAAATAATTAAAACTTAACGTAATTATATATAGTTACAATATACATTTATATAATAATGCTATGTCAAGGATATGAGTACATCACATTCAATTTATGATACTGTTCATTCCAACGATTGTTGGATTCAAAATATTTAAAGCAAATTACTGCAGTCTATAATACGTACTATTAGACTATACAATTGTATGTAACAAAATTAAAATCTGTTTTAATCTATCAGTCACTTGCACAATTTAAATTAGAGTTATAATCAAGCTATTGTAAGCACGCTTGGACTTTCTCAATCCATTCTTGCGCAGTTGCTGCGTCGCCAGCACAAAAGTTATATGTTCGTCTGTTTGTACGAAGCTGCAAATATAAAGACATATAATAGAAATTTCATTTTTGAAAATATAATAAATGATACAAAATGAGACATTTACATCAAAGAATGATTTATCATCTGTTTTCTTTGGTGGCCCTGGCATTGGTTGAGCTGGAGTTACAGAAACTACTTCAGCTAGATCTGTAAAATTATAAATATTTATAAATTTATACTGTAGCATTCCAATTTTGAATTATTTTCTACATACCTATATATCCTTTACAATGAGAATCTTCCATGGCATCATAATACCTTAGTTGATGTTTTATAGAATCTAATACGAACCACCTCTGTTTCCAGCCTTTAAGCAAAGCACCTCGTTTATAAAGGTAACCTTCATGAGTTCTATTTTCAGCAACATTACTAGAGAATTGTTCGTAATATTGTTGTGAAGAGGTTTGTATTGTAGTAACACCTAGATGTGAATTGTTAATATCATTAAATAAAATAATACATAACATTGCTCAATCATATAATCATAGTTTACAAGAAAAGTTTATAAAGCCATAATGTAATATTCGTACTTGAATTTACGCTTCCATTATCACCACCACTTCGCGTAAGTGTATGTGTTTGTAAATTATCAGTTACTGCCTTATATTTTGTACAATTTTTTGGTACTGCATCAGCACACTTGTCATGACATACATGGCCACAGTCTACACATCGTAAACCAGCTTTTACTGGCCCCCACAATACGCCAGAACAAGCATCACAGTGAGTTGGTGTAGCTGAATCTAATCGTTCAAACCTTTAAAAACGAGAATGTAAAGTTATTCAGCATTCAGTTATTTCATTTTAAAGAAAGCTTTATGATTATAAAAATTACCTATGGGGATGTGCATAAACGGAACCATCATTTCCAGAAGTACTTCCACTAGCAAGTTTGCCTCTTAAAAGTAGTTCTAATGTAGAACGTTTATGAATCAATCGACCGTGATATCTGACTAATGCAGTGCTAAATGATGCGTGTCTCTATTTATAGAATAAAAGATGTTATCATTTTTACATCATATATCCATAGATGAGTACATCATTTTTAAATAGTTACAGTGTTTGTTACTAACAGCAAGTGAATCTGTATTTGGCAGTTCAAGTTTGTCCCAAAGAACTTTCCATTTTTGAGGTAAATGACCCAATTCAGTTTCTAATCTATGTATCTCTTCTAAAAGATGAGAAAATTGATCGGGTACCATTGAACTTACACCATCATACCTATAATACATCATAATATAAATAGTATAATTCGAAAAGGAAGGAAAATATAACATAAATTTAATCTTACCCTTGTGTAACTACTTTGCGATTACTTTTAACTACACCATCAGCAGCTTCTGCTTCTTCTTCTTGTTGGGAATCTTGTTGTAATACTTCTAAGTCATATGCAGGTCCATGAGCCAGTTCTTCTTCTAAATAATATTGCCAAATATCAAGATTTGGCAAATGCGATACGGGTCTTAATACCATGTTTTCAGTATTGGGAGTATACATGAAATTATAAAACAAGGGACACCGTGCGTGTTGTTTTTCGATGTAATCAAATATGCTTTGACCGAGATTGCATCCTGTATTTGTCCCTGCTAATCTACCTCCAGGATAAATTGTTTCGTCATCACTACCTGTATCTACACCTTTATGATGACTTGTCAATGATCCCCTTTTGTCTTCAACAGCAGTAATGCCACATTCCACTCTATCGAATTCGCAGTCCAATAAAAATGTACGAAAACGGCAAGAAACCGAATGATATGCTAAGAATTTTAGGTAATATTCGTTGAATTCAAATGCTAATGGAAATTGCTTTTGAATTTGATGCACTATATCAAGAAATTGAAGAAAAGTGGGCGTAAAATTTGTTGTTTGAGAATTTGCTGCAAGATTACTTCTGTGCCCAAATCTATGTCCGAATCCAAGCCATTCCTTCTCGATTAAAGTTCGAAAACCCTCGATAGTTCTATAGTGTGGGTCAAGACATACTTGAGCAACAGAACACACTGTTGCTGTGGTATCCCAACCTTCCTCTAAACAAACAGCTACTGATGAGCCTTGAACATCCATTAAATCTATTACAGCACCAGCTAATTGCATTAAATTTTGAAGTTGTTGTAACCATTCTGAACTTTCAATTAATCTAAAATTTCGAATATTATTTATCAGAAATTATATCTAATGAAATCATATTTTCTCTAAATAGATTATACATACTTATAAAAACTTTGGTCAGGTTCTACATTTGGAGAGCTAGGAACACATGCTCGCATAAGTTTCTTAAATGCAGCTTTGGTATGTCTTACATCGTAATATTCCACTGGGATAAAGTCTGTTTTTGGTGCTGATTCCGCTTTAACACCCTATTGCATTCAAACGATTAATTTTGTGAAATTACATCATATGCAACTAAAAAAATTTAATTTAAAATTATCTTACTTTCATATGAGCTTTTTCACCAAGAATATATAATGCAGCACGTTGGAAAGTATGAACGCATTCAGTACCACTGTCTGAATCTGCAGAATGTCTAACAGTTCCACGTTGATGAACTGAAGTTAAAGAGACTTGGGAATTATGTCTCTTATCTTTTAATGAACCCCAACGACCAAAATTCTTAGGTCCTTTACCTCCTGATGAACTGTAAAAAATAACACATATATTAATTAACCAATCTTTTATTGATTTCATAAAATTTTAATTAAAAGGTATATATATGTGTAGCGGATCGGTATCAATAGGACGCCGATAGGTCGAGGCATCAACGCGGCACAACACCTCCCGGGCGATCCGCGGGTACCAACCGTCAACACCAGAGGGCTACGACAACAACGAGTTTGTCTATCTCGCTAGCGATCGAATATACGAGCGAATGATACAAATACCGCACCTAGCGAGACTCCCTGTACGTGTAAGGCAGGGACTACCGGGCATAGTCTTACTGACCAGTCCATCGGTAGTCCCGGGACGAAACGCAACTCTCTTTTCATCTGGCAGCGACAACCTTCCGCCACAGTGGGGTTTGGTTTTTAACGCTATAGTGTGACCCCAAAGCTATATATGTATATACCTTAATGTTCCAATAGCTTTATTAAATGGATTTCGTCGTGATTGTTCGGGTGTAGCATTGCGATCTTCAGCAGCTAACAATAAAGAATCAATACTAAGAGAACTATCAGACATTCCCCATGCAGAACCTTGTCTTAGCGCAGATAACGGAGTAGCAGCTACAAGAGCCATAATATATTTTTCTTGCTCTAAAGATGATGTGGTTTCTGATGATGTTGCTAAGAATATAAAACAAATATTTAAGAATATTATAAAAAATTACACATTTCAAAACACTTTCTTAACAGATACCTTTTAAATTACCAGCAGATGCTGGATGAGCTTTCAGCATACCCATGACACCTTTCCCATGATAACCAGCACCTCTAATTAAAAGTGCTTTTGTTCTTGGGTGCCTCCATGTGACAGCAGGTATTCTATTATGTCTATAAAGTCGACAGAATCTACGAATACTTTCATCTGATACTGATGAGGGAACTATAAGAAGTGCAGGATAACTTCTGCAAATCATATAGGCACAATTCACAGAAGATAATCGAAATGGTTCATTTCTACGATTATTGTGTGGCCCATTTGAATACAATCCTAATCGATACCAATCTCTGACATAACTACGTTCCGATAATCGTTCTAAGGTTTTAGCATCAGTTGGTGGTTGAGTTACAATACCAGGAATTTCAAAATCATCTACTGTAAGGATGGTATATAAAATGGTAAATAGACTGAGAATTATTGGAATATCAGAAATATTAAACGTTTAACTTACCACTAAGATCGTCATCATGACTTAAATCATTATTATCTGTAACTGGTAAACTCATTCGACCAGGTGATGTCATGTACTTATTATTAGTAATCATGTTCATATTTGGCAAGACGTATTTTTGTCTTTTAGATGACTGCTTTGGTTTAAAACCAGCTTTACGTGCAGTCTTTAAAAGTGTTTTCTTAGCAAACCCTCTAAAAGAAAAATCATTTTATTGTGATAAATGATAAACATAAAAAAAGTTAAATAAGAAATTACTTACTTAAGAGTAGCATTCTTTTCTTTTCCTTTGTGATGTGCAGTCTGAGTAACTAATACTTGTCCATTGAAAGCAAAATGATGAAAAATGTGTGGTGGATACCGAGCTTTATGAACTAATTTTCTTAAAGTCTCAATATTCTCAGGTGTAACTTCTTCATCGAAGGCTAACTTTATCAATTGAAAAGTACATGATCGCAACTGAAGACCTTCTTGTAAACATTGATCTAAATGTGCTAAATGTTGCACCGCAACTCGTTTCTCTTTAGTTAAGGATGTTACAGGAAAAGCACGAACTACTAATTGTTCACAAGCAAATGGATCACAAGGTATTCCTTTAAATACAATTCTATAATTAGTAAGGAAAATTGCGCCTTCTGCTGGTAAGAGTGGTGGTATCTTTGGTAACCCTGCAGAACTCTCTTCCCTCCCATCTGGTAAAAGATAAACACGCAAACCATCCATAATAACTTCTTCACCAGGTAACATATTAGGTGTCAAAATTTTAGGTTTCTGAATAGGAGGTAATCTTTTGCTTTCTCTATGTATAGCTTCAAGAGTTTCAATATGCATATGAACAACACCAGGAACCATTTGATGTAGGCATCTAACATGTTCAGCACTTACACCTCCTTCAGTACAAACACGATCTACAAATCGTGACACCATTCGAATAACAGCACTACCAGTTTCTCCGGGATCAGTTTCTTCAAAACCAGACTCTGCATCACCACTATCGCTTGCTACACTATTTGTAATACTATTACTTGCTCTTTCATCATCATAAATATTATCTTGACGATGAGTCTTTGCCCCTATATCTAACGGAACCAATAAATAAACCATCCTATTTGCATAATGAATTGCTTGACTATACATGGTACTTTCTTCACTTGCAGTAAGTTCCTTTTGTTTCTCTGGATCTATTGTTGGCCAAATCCTCATTTGTTCAGCAGCTATTTCAAGAGCCGATGGTTCTTGAATTTGATAAATTGAATACCGATCGCGAAATGGAAATTCCTTGCCATCACGTGGACTAATAGGACTTAAGATACCATCATTTATAAGCCGTGGTGGAGAATTTTCACCAGGGAGATATAAACGTTTAATATCTTTTTGAACGTCCAAATAAAAAGCATCTTCCCAAAATTGTTGATTTTGCCATACAGGATGTTCTTGAATACAGGTGTAAGCAAATTGAATTACTCCTGTGCAAAGTTTTCTACAAAATGCTGTAGCAAGGGGAAGAAGTGCAGCAGCAACTCCATGCTCATCCATGGATGAATCATCTTGCAATGCACAATTCATTAACCGGACTACAAGATCAAATTGTTGATGTTCTAGCATGGCTTTGTTTCCAACAACATGCTGTGATAATTCCATGCAAAGCGCTAAACGAGCAGCTTTGCTTTTCAAAGCTCTTAAAACAGCTGGGAACGTTTTACGGGCATCAGATATTTTATTCTCAAATATACAATTTATACAGTTACGCAGAACTTCCAGTCTACGTGCAGAATTGCTAACCAAATGTCTAGTATCATGAACAAATGAAATATGTGGACCCATAGGTACAATACGAGGCTGTGATGGCCTTAATGACGATAATCTATACACAAAATGTTCAATATAAGTATAAAATATCATAGTCATGTTACATATGTAAAAATATATCAATATTATTTCTAATACTAACCTAACTTTAAGATTATTTTTGGCAAGACCCTCATCTATAATTGCTTGAACTTGTTCTGGATTAATGCGCGGTAAAAGCGGCTGATGTATCCTAGCAAATGCTCCTTCAGGTGGTTTTAAAATTTTTTGTACATATGGTTGAGGATTTGGATTTTCATTTGTGTACAATTGTTGTGCTAATTCTTGAATATGTGTTAAAATAAGCCCTAATATCGAAATGATATTTATTGTATATAATACTTTATCATTATTAATTATATGTTTTGTTACTGTTACTTACTATGATCTTGTGCTTCTTGTTTTAACTGATCACTTAAATTATTATACAATTCATCCCACACATCACAAGGCCTCCACGGTGGTCCCCTTTCTGCAATAAAGGAAGTAAAAAACATGCAATCCAGAACTCTGGTTGTAAAGTCACAATCCGTTAAGCCACGTTCTCCAAGAAAAGCTGCCTAGAAATAAGAAATACAATTTATATGTTTCCCTTTTATCTTTAAACACTATAAAGTGGATAGAACCAATAATAATATAAAGACCTTATGAAATGTTATGACAGGCTTTGGATGAATTCTTATTAATGTCAGGCAGCTCCTATATCCTTGCAATAATTGAGCAAAAGTTCTCATAAAAACTGCCCGTAATTCTTTATCTAACATAGGAGAGTGAGGAGCTCTTGTTGCAAGTGGTGGAAAAGCATAATCTGCACAAGCTAATTCTGGTTGTAATACTAAAGATAATGCATCTTGTGTTTGTGATAGAAGTGGTTCTGGAAGTAATGGAAGTGCTACTCCATCTGGAACCATAATAGAACCTCCATCCAAATCAGCGACTATTACATCCATCTGCAAAAGAATTTAACATTTAATAAAAAATCGTTATAATAAAATAAAACATATTATATAATTCTATTGAACATCTTACAAGTTCTGCAACTTCATGTTTCAATGAACTATGTACACCCATGATAAATGGAGTAGGTGTACTGAGTACTTCAACTAAAGCTGCTGGTAGAAGAGGAATGTAAACATGCGTGTATCTAAATGGATACATTAGTGCAGTAAGCGCACGACATCCTTCAGTTAATCGTGAATAACTTGCAGAATGAAAAAGTATTTTATGTTCTGTCATAACAGCACAGAACAATACTAGTACATTACGAATTCCTATAAAATATAACTATATTTTAATAAAAAGTATAAACAAGAACATATTTGTAATAATAGCTGTTTTACACTTACCTAGTTGTTGAAATAAAAGATTTACACTACTGTGTGTTATTGGAAGGGAAGGACTAATTGGAGGCTGAAGTGCTTGACGATCACCTGCACCAATGCTAAATCTTACTTGTGGTCCACCAGCAGGTGGTACTTGTATACAACCTAATATGTTTCCTACCAAAGTTTCTAATGGTATTCCGAGATTTTCTACATATACTGTGTATATAATACCAAGGCAATTCTGAAGCAACAATATAAAAATATTATTGTTACATATAGAAATATGATCATAGTCTCAAACTAGGCAAAATGTCACATACTCTGAAAGTTTCAATGTAATCAAGTCTGGAAACCAGCACCAGACATTTAGGTGCATACATAATGCTGTGATGTGCTATTGTGGGTATTGTTCTAACCAAGGAACGACTATCACCATCTACAGGATCTTCTTCTTCATCTACAGGCTTACTTGGCAATATAGACACTGTTTCATTGAAACACATACAAGCACAATAATGACGATTTGCATCAATATCAGTTAAAATAGATACAAAAAATCGTGGTTCTTGTCTTTCTGTAGATAAAGCCCATCCCTGTGGTTGACAAAACTATAAAATAAAATTAATTGAGAAAAGATTAGTTATAAGAAATAAAAATGTAATAAAGAAAAGTCTTACCCATTCTATTCCTTCTATAAATGGTGTATCTGGCCAATCCTTTTCTGGAAACCTTTGTAAAATGATTCCATTACTTATACCCCCTCCTATAAACATAAATAAAATTACATATTATATCAACTTTTTTGTTATTGTACTTTGATAAATTATATCTTTGTAGTACAAATATTTAAATTTCTTAAACAATATAAAATATTAATAATACTTCAATAATTCGTAACACACAAATAAAAATTATTTACTGTAAATATCTTTAAATATTTATGCTATTGAAGATATACAAAATATATATATATATGTGTGTGTATATACTTTATTATACAAGCTTACTTGCTAAGATTACTTATTGTTACACACCTTAAATGTTTGACAATCATGTATATAAAAATATCGATATATTTTTACTTTCGTTAAAAATAAAAACTTACTCTCTTTTTCGTGGTCGTAGCCGACCACAACAAAGTAGTCGGCTAACCGAGACATTTCGGTATACTCGTGGGGGTTCGTGGGGGTGATAGCGCCCAACATCCCACGTAGATTTTAATACACGTGATTTCATGGACCGTATCCTATCAAGCAACAATCAACTACCTTGTGTCAACGTTACACATAAATATGCATCAATATGCAAATTAATTGAAAAATATGATAAACATTTTTGAATTTATATTTTTTCATTCAAACAACACAAATTTCAGAGTAAAGCACCAAAAACGTGATATCGTTGTAAATACATTTAAAAAATTTTCTCGAAAAACAAATTTCAAGCGGTGGTTGAAATGTTGTAGGCATCGCACGCACCGTTGAAAGGAGATACTTCACATTCGTTACGTTTAGAAAATGAATTCACCCGTCATCACAAGAGCATACAATATTCTATTTATTTTATAAAACACAATATGATGCCACACCCCGAAGCTTTAATCCATAACCTTCCAAACTCAAGCGCCACATTGGGTGTTTGTTGAACCGCGTATGAACCAAAACGCGCCACAGATATACAAACGAAGAGACGAATGCGCTATAATTCCCATTTAATTTTACTTTTTTTGTCTTCTGCTTGGGTCACTGAGAATACTTTAAATCTGAAAACATTCGCATTATTAGAGGCGCTACTTTCATGCTACTTTATAGCGCGTTCATAGTGAAATTATTGCATAACAGTTACATGTATAACACCCCTATATGTATATAATAATGTCTTCTTTAAATTTATCAAATAATTTTATATTTTGAATAGAAAAATGAATCTGAATGTTCTTTAATTTAATTAAAAATTGTTATATAAATTTCTACACATGCATATGTGTATGCATATATTGTATTACTTTCTTTCAAAATTTATTGTAGATATTTAAAAAATATGTTACTTTATATATCTTTAAAAACGAGTTAAAATTAAATTTAATATAATACTTTATGTCTCAAATTATACTTAAAGATTATTAATTTCTATCAGAGTTATATGTGTATGATGTACTATGTACATTTATATTGTATATGTTTAAATGATACCTAACCTTATAGAAGTTGTCACATGGAACAATATAAGTTTTGCTTATATCAAAAGTAAAAGTTAATCTAAGAATATATACGTTTCGTAAAATTACTTTGATGTAAATATCTATCTTTTATATCTAATTTATTTTTAAAAATTAAATTCTTTATGACGAATTAAATAAATTTTAATAGTGTGATTGAATATGTTTTAATGTTACAGAATTTTACTAAATTTTAGTAAGATGAATATTACTCAAATACTTTTGCAAACCGTTACAGATGCAAAGGTAGGATTTATAATTTCAGCAATAATAGGTTATTCTTTATATAAAATAATAGCAGTAATAAATAGAAAAAAATTGCAATCTTCTAATGATAATTGCAATGAAACTTTAAATTATATGGTAAGTAAAATTAAAATTTGTATATATATTTATATTTTTTTATAATTAATCTAATAAATACACAAATAAAAATAATAGTTTTTATTTTCAGCAAATGTATGCAGATAATTACAAGCTTGTTTTAGTTATTAGAACTGATTTAAAAATGGGAAAAGGAAAAATTGCAGCACAATGTGCTCATGCTGCTGTTGCAGCTTATAAGGCAGCCACAAAGTATCCTGAATTTTTATATGCTTGGGAAAAGTGTGGCCAAGCTAAAATTACTCTTAAGGTATATATACTTCTTATACATATATTTCACATGTAATATTATTTGCTTTAAGTTAAATCCTTATTGGTAAATAAAAAAATGCTTAGGTGGATAGCGAGAATGCTTTGAAAGAAATAGCAAAACAAGCTAGAACTGTAGGACTTTTGGCAAATATAATACAGGATGCTGGACACACACAAGTAAAGCCAGGAAGTAAAACAGTATGTGCTATTGGTCCAGGTCCAGCTCAAATGATAGATAATGTAACTGGTCATTTAAAATTGTTTTAATAATGAACAAAATAAAGGTATCTTAATTTTTTATCTAATTTTTAAGTGTATTTTTATATTTTTTTAAATTCAGTTCTTCATGATTTACTAATTTCATTATTAGATTTTTATTCATATGCTAAAAGATAATTAAATACAGCAATTTCATATTTTGTTGATGATATAAGTATAAATATATGCACATAATTTTTATAAAATGATGCATCCCATTAAAAAATGCATCAATATATTTATCAAAAATGAAAAAGTACAAACTTTTAGTTCAATACTTTATACAAATTTAAATATGTTATTAAATTGAAACATTACTTCAGTCATTGGTCGCATTTTATATATAATAATAAATTTCATTTAATAAATTTAAATATAACATACATGAACAATGTTCATTTTTATGCTAATATAATACACTTTTGCATTAAGAAACACGAGTATAGCATTAGGTGCCGTTGTATACAGTATCTTGTTAATATCGAATTTTATCAGTGTAAGCAAATGGCATTTACTGATATTTGTATTGGAAAATATATTATGTAAAAAGTGCATAATTAGAGTCATATTGCAACAAAATAAGCAATCACCGTAAATTATTCCCAGCTCAAATCACAAAATATTAAGAAATTTGTTTCCAATAAAATATCTTCCATTCTTTGGTACCTCGTGCTATTATTTTCATTTAAAATATCATTTAGTGCTTATAAATAGTATATAAATAATCTACACTGGAGGGGGAGGTGCTTTTCGATGTATTTTGTTAGAGCTGGTAGCACTACATTGTGACTCAGCAATGGATCTGCCATCAGCTTCATCTCTTCGACATAATTCTTCATTTTGCATCCAATTTTGAGTCTGATTATGATTCGTTCGTGTTGATTGATTTTCTTCATTTCCAGTCACAGAACCTACTTCTTCTAATAATTTTGATAAAGATGGTGCCAATCCTAATCCTAAATTTCGCTCGTGATATACATCTGAAATCGTAGGCGTTAATTCACGTGTTAAACTTGTGAGGGACGTGGCTACGTTTCTTAAATTTTGATTATGTGTTTCTGCAGGTTGTGCAGAGTCAGTCTGAGAACAAATATCTTCAGTTGTTGTAGGATGACGAGGCTTTCTTGGAGAATTAGATCCAATTTCTGTTCGAACACTTAATCTTTCTAGTACTGTTGCTGGTAAAGGTGGTAATGGTTGTCGCCTTAGAACTGTTGCATGACCGTTATCCCAATCTGTTACTGAACTACTTGAACTAGACCCTGGTCTTAAGCTTTGATCGGGATAAAGATTTCTGATACGTGTTTGATGATTTAAATTGAGTGCTACAGGAGGACTAGGAGTGAAAGCAACATCCGATTCACCTACAAAACATACATATGATTACAATTTTATATTCAATACTTATCTAAATTTTAGTCTAAGTTATTTATACCTCCACTATTTTGACATGGTTGTCGTGATGTAGGAATTGGGACATTTGGTGGTTCCATAGTTTTACCATCAGGTTCACCTCGATGTCGAACGTAATTTGCAAATGCACCTCCTAATCTAGGTCGTTCTATGACATTTTTTTCAATATGAGCAACAGAAGCTAGACTTTCCATTGAACTACTAGAATCTAAAGTCAAACTTTTAGGTGCTTCTTGTGTATCTAAGAACATAATTATAATTTAAATGACATATTTTTATTTTTATTTATTATACACACATGACCAGTTTAGACTTACCAAATAAAGCTAGAAGAGCTTGAAGAGCAAATTGAACAGCTCTCCGTGATGCTTGTTTTCCTGTTCTCAATGTAACTTCTGATTGACCAACTTCCATGAGATCAAAACCTAGACTTGCAAATAATTCATGAGATCCTGATGCTCTCCATACTTGTACTGGTAATGTGACTTCTTGACCTTCCGTCGCACATGTAGCTCTTCTCATTGCAGCAATAACATCCTCTGCTGCTTCTGGTGCCTACAATAAAAATTTCCTTTAATATAATAGATTATTAACTTTTACAAGTAGCAATGTCAGAATATACAGATTTATTTACTACCTGCAACAACCTAGCAAGAGCATGTAATGACGATGGTCCCAATCCCAATAATGCCTGCAAACTTGCACTACATCTTGTTAATCTTTCTTCTGGATCACTTTGTGGGAAAAATACAGAGGATGGTATTCCATTTCCAGCAGGTTCAAATCTAAAACCTACTGACATTAAAAGTTCTCGCCAACCAGTGGCTGCACCCACTTTATTTTCAATACTACGCTGAGTTGTGTACATAGCATTTTTTTGTCCACGATGTATTCGTTGTAATGATTTTTCTACTAAATGAAGTGTTACACGTAATGCATCACGACTTTGTTCAGGACCACCGCGTAATAATTCAGCCAGTGCTTGTCCCATTAAAGCAACCTAAATGTATATTTCATGAACTATCATTTACATATGAATTATTAAATTTAATAAATTTTTTAAGATTTATACCTTGTTTGACAATCTTGCATCTCCTCCAATAAGTAACCAACCAGCCCAATTTGCAGGATGTGCGAAATGTCTTGTATGTTGAACTGTTTGCATAGCTTCTGCCAATGCTCTTGATGCTCTAGCACCTTGTAACATAGCACTATAGAATGCTCGTAATAATATACTACCAGCTGTAGGTGGAACTGCCCACATTCCTATAAGTACACATTGTGCTCCTGCATTTAATAAAGCTTTGGCTAAATTTTGTACGCCATCTGATGTAGCAGTTGTATTTTCTGTACTATTCCAACCATGGCCACTAGATATTACAACTAAACGGGCAGCTATTCTTAGTTTTGTAATATCTGAATAGCTTAGCAAGTATTCTGGTTTTACAGATGGATCTTCACAAGGATCTGCAGTTAATGCTAAACTGGCAGAATTCCAGAAAACTGGTACTGTTAAATGTACACATTCTGCATCAGGTAAAGACCTTAAAACAGTCGACCTCGTTGCTTCTATCCCTATTAGTAAAGATTAAAAAGATTATTTATTTATAATTTTCTTTAATTTATTTAAATTCGTAATGATACCTACCAGTTAAAGCACGGGCTTCTAATAATTCAGCAACAATCTCAGATTCTGTTTCAGTAGAAGCAACACTTTCTGACCATCTATATTCTTCCCTGATTTCTTCAGGAAGCACAGGATTTCCTGCAACTAATGCAGCTACCGTTGCACCTCCTTCTGGCATAGGAGTCTTTGATCGCTTTTTTAAAGCTGCAAGCGATGGTACTACTAATAAAGAAAATCTTTCACATAGATAATCTTCTCCAGGGTTTGATTGTAAAGCTGGAAGTGGTGCCAAATATAAAGACTTCTCCACTACCATAATTAGTTCCTTCCTTGCTGGTGGTAAAAGATCTTCAAAAGGTGCTAAAAGTAAATCGTAAAGTACTTGAATTGGTAATGGTGATTGCCATGTTGGTCCTTTGGTTCCTCGTCCCCATCGAGCACTTCCTGCTCGTGAACTAATTGAACCCACACTAAACAGACTGCTCAAACTGTATGAACTAGCATTGAGATGATGTCCTCTCGATGGTATTTTTGTTTCTTCAACAAGTTCACTTGTTTCGTCTAAAAGAGCTTCTCGTGCCTGCAGAACTCGCTTCTCTAATCCTATACCATCATCCAAACTAGTAGAATGAAATCGTAATAGTCCCCGACCAGGAGCTAAGCACCAAGCATGTAATTCACACCCTACTTCACTGAAACGTTATTTGACATTTACTAGCCGTTTTATGGAATTACAATTTGTTCACACTATTTATTAATAAATTTAAATTACCTATAATATAAAATAACTCCACGTTGTCTATCGATAATTTCGGAATAATGCGCAGCATCATCTAAACAATTACTTTTACTTCGTCTCGATCTTTCTGCCCAATTCAGAGCTTCTTCAGCTCTATTTAAACTGATCAGTACTTTTTGTAACATTCTGTACGTTTCTGATAATAACTCAGATTTGTTTGGTTGTCCACAGGTAAGGGTTGAAGTAATTCCATCTAATGATTCTAATAAATTTGCTGCTTTCTCTAAATGTTCTACAGCTATAATTGCTTCTCCAGCTTCCCAATGAACAAGACCAAGTCTGTGTCTTAATCTAGCTGCTTCTTCTCTTCTTCCTAATCCTTCAGATAAAGACAATCCCGATTGTAAGTAACTCAAAGCACGTGATAAATCACCGCATAAATGATGAAGTCGACCTAAACTGGAAAATGCAGCTGCTCTTGCTGGTTGATCACCAGCTGCTGCTGCAAGACTTAATGATTGTTCTTGTAATCTGATTGCTTCTTCAAATTGTCCTAAAGCTTCTTGAGTTACACCTAAGTTTGCACAAGCTCTAGCTTGTAACCCAGCTGCATCTAAAGCTTCAGCAATTGAAAGTTCCAATTGATGATGTCGTAATGCAGAATTTGGATCGTCCATTAATAGATGAACAGCTCCTAACCCACTAGCAGCCTCTGCTTCAGCAGCTTTATCTCCAAGTCCTCTGGCAAGTGCCAGTTGATGTGATAAACAACTAACAGCTTGTTCGTGGTTACCTAATGCAGCATGTACTCGACCTACACAATTGATATTAACAACTTATAACACTCATCAAGAAAAGTTAATATATTTATAGATTCTATAGTATAATATTTTACATATTAATTACCTAAATCTCCATAAGCTGCGCCTCTTGATTCTGGACTATCAACTTCATGTGCAGCTACTAGTCTTTTCTCAAAACAAACTAAAGCTTCTTGTAAATTTCCAGTTGCTTCCCGAGCTCGACCTAAACCTCGATATGCTCTTTCTTGTTCTCTTATACTTTTCAATTTTGTAGCAGCTGTTAATTGTTGCTCATGACATTTTATAGCTTCTTCTGGATCTCCCAAGGCTTCATAACAATCGCCTAGATTGCCAAGTGCTCTAGCTTTATTTAGTAAGGCTGTGCCCGTAGTTAATGGTTCTAAAGTTGCTAATTGTTGTTCAAAATATCCAATTGCGTCTTCATAATGTGCCATATTAAGTCTAGCTATTCCTAAATTTCCTGTTTAAAAGAAAAATAGTGAGCATTATTGCTGTAAATTTAAGTAGTTCAAACATTATAAATAAAGTTCACCTAAAGCTTGAGCCTCAACTCCTGAATCTGCTAATTCTTTTGCCCTTTCAAGTTGTTCCTGATAACACTTCACTGCATGAGTATATTGACTTAGTGCCATGTGCACCGCCCCTAAGTTTCCATGAGCTCTACATTCACCACGTAAATCACCAGCTTCTTGTCTTAAAGTTAGTTCTTGAGTATGAAATCCTAATGCCTTATCAAGATTTTTTATTGTCCGATGTGCAATACCTAAAGCTCCATAAGCAGCAGCTTCTAAACTGCGATCACTTGCTTGTCGTGCTAAATTTAATTGTCTTTGATGCATTTTTATTGCTTCTTCAGCTTCTCCAAGGCGTAAAAGGCAATCACCAATATTTCCCAAAGCACGAAATTTTCCAGCTAAATGTTTAGTCATATGTGCAATAGCTATATAGAAAGATAAATTATTAATATTAAGTATATGTATATTTTGCTATTTTTAAAATATAAATATGCAGATGCACGATTTTCTTACCCAAATAGTATTTTTGGCATTCTAGTGCAGTATCTAAATTTTCAAGAGCTAAATGTGCTAATCCCAAATTACAATAAGCTCTTCCCATCCCAGATTTATCCTGTAAATCCTTAGCTAATGCTAAGTCTTGATCATAATATCTAACAGCTTCACGATGATTGCCTAAACAATAATGAGCATAACCCAAGAAGTGACATGCTTTAGCTTCTCCTTCAACATCGTGTAGTTCCTGAGATAACATAAGATAATTTTCATAATATGGAACAGCTTCTTCAAATCTGCCACGAGATGACAAGCAATTAGCAAGATTGAGTAATGCACAAGCTTCACCAGCTGTATCTTTCAACTCGCGCGCTATAGCTAAATGAGCTCTGTAATGTCTTAATGCTGCTTCATGACCCTGTACAGCTTGATATGCTACTGCTAAATTTCCATGTGTGCTAGCTTCTGAACTACGATCATTGACCTATATTAAACAACAACTTTTATATTGTTTTATGGTATAAATTTGCTATTAAATTTTTCATTGCATATTTTAAACAATTTACCTCTTTACTTATTGTTAATTCTTGTTTATGATATTTAATAGCCTGTTCATAATAACCTAATGCATTATAAGCATTTCCAATATTTCCATATGCTCTACCCATACCAGCTTTATCTCCTAATGATCTAGCAATTCCTAAGTGAGCTTGATGTAGTTTAAGTGCTGCTTCATGTTCACCAAGTAATTGATAAACTATTCCTAAATTACTACATGCTCGTCCTTCAGCAACTTTATCTTTTGTAGCTAAAGCAACATCAAGTTGCCTTTGGTGCCACAGCTTGGCTTGTGCAAGATCACCTAAATAATGATATATTTGAAAGAGATTTTACAATAAAGTTAATTCTTTATTAAGTTTCTCATTATTTATTCTAAAAAGTTCACCTGCACATCTTGCAGCATGACCTAATCCAGCATAAGCTCTCATTTCTATTGCTCTATCACCGAGTTCTTGAGCTATTCTTAGCACATTTTCATGATAAGCCATTGCTTGACCAAAATTTCTTCGATAATGATGAGATGAACCTAAGTTACTGAAAGCTCTTGCTTCTTCTACACGATCTCCTAAACGTCTTGCTATTCTCAAATGTTGTGTATGACAATCAACAGCACTTTCAAATTCTCCCATTGCTAAATAAACTGCTCCCACGTTTCCTATTTCTCGGGCTTCCTGAAGTCGGTCTCCCATTTGTTTTACTAATTGTACACATTGTTTATGAGATGCAAGTGCATTTGGTAAATCACCAATAGCTGTATAAACGTGACCCAGGCTAGTTAAAGCAGATGCTGCAGCCTGAGTATCTTTGCACTTCATAGCTAAAACCAATTGATACCTGTGTGCTGTTAAAGCTTCCTTAAAACTGCCCTTGCTAAAATATGCTGAGCCCAGATTTCCATGAGCTCGACATTCACCCTGGGTATCTCCTAAAGATCGTGCGACACCTAAAAATATTTTTACTCAGAATACAAAGAAATATTCTATTGATACATACATATTATTTTATCTATCTTCAATATTTACCTAAATCTTGTTGCATATAATTGATAGCTTTATCTAAAGAATTTAATGCCCAATATGCACTAGATAGAGCAGAAAATACAGAACCCCTTAATTTTAAGCTACAAGAACCAATAGTAAGAGCAGCTTCTAATACACCAGCTGCTGCCTTATACTGTCCTGCTCCAAGAAGTTCTTGGCCAACAACAGAAATGACAACAAAAGAAGATTCATCAAGTTTCATTGCACGTAATTGTTGAAATGTCGGTTCTAGTGTTGTACGCAATGGTGATTTTAAGGATGCTTCCACAAGACCAGATAAGAGTTGACAATTGGTAGGATCATGTGCCAAACCTGTACTGAAGGCTACAAGAGCCTCTCCATGTCTCCCTAGACATTGTAAGGCTACTCCTTGACGGTAGTATGCCTAATAGAGATATTGGTTTTACTAATTATTTGAAAAGTAACAAACAAAAGCAGCTATTACCTTTGGCCATTGAGGGCTAAGTTCGGTAGCTCTAACAGCATCCTGAAGAGCAAGTGCAAATAAACCCATTTTGAGCCGGGCAGCTGACCTGTTTGAATATAGCACATGGCTGAGTGGATCCAAAGCAAGAGCTTCTGTGTACAAACTTGCAGCAAGAGCATAATCACCATTTTGACATGCTGCATTGCTGCGACGTACAGTCTCTAAAAATAGAGATCTTGATCCAGCAGCCAAGGCCGACGTACCTTCGGGCTCCACCTTATAAATATTTATATATATATATATAATTTATATATATTATGCACATACATGTGTACGTATTTATTTCAGAATTATATTGTTATTATCATTGTGTTAATTAAATATTATTTATAAACATTGTATAAAAAATTTATTATAAAATATAAGGTAATATTAAACTTATTTGAGTAATATTAAGCTAATATAAGGTAACATTAATTATTACATATATAATTATCATAAATATTAATTTATATCAATTTTCATTTTATAAATAGAAATAAGTGATTTAATGAAATAATTATTAAATAAAAAATTTAAATAAATATTTTCATTCATATTTAGAAATCTAATATTTAATTCTTAAATTTCATTATTTTTTTTATATCAATTATTAAAACATCAAAAAATTATCGTATAAAAAATATACAATTCAACATAATACTTGTTTTATCACTTTTAATACAAATCTTTGTTGTTTTTTATTTTTATGTATATATCCATAAATATATACAATATGATCTTATAAACATAATTTATTATCAAAATTGCAAACAACAGACCAAATTTTATAATGAATACAAAAATAAAAAACATAAATTTATAAAATTAAATGATTTTAATTCTAAAATATGATAATAATATTCGTCATCATATTTGTACTGTAGGATCTTGTTACCTCAGAGATATCCCTATGAGACATTGCTTAAGACGAGCAAGTAGCATCCTCCTGCATGAGCATTATCTGCAGCAAAGGAGCTTCATTAGATAAGACCACACATTTTAGAGTATAAGACCTTTCTAGGTCTTCCTGTACCACCTTTCTTTCCCTCATTCAGATTTATTTTCTACAAGATGCTACTTTCAAATCTAGGCAGCACTCACCGGATACACGCTGAAATAAACTATTTCGTCTTAGTAATCAGAATATTCGCTAGGATAGGTGAATTGATTCGATTAATAAAAAAGGAGGGAGGAAGGCGTCTTAGGAGGGCACCCACTGCATTCCTCAGGCACAGCCATCTTGGAATGTGACCCCGGGCTCCCCCTTGGGCCCAGAGTGGGGCCGGCACTGTCTGCTTTTGTAAGTACCTTTGTGTATTGGACTCCACATGTATAGCTCATAAATTTACGCTGCTGTGTATATACATGCATAGAAATGTAGAATTCACTTATTGAAATAATATATGACGTATATGACTTTATAAATTATTTTTACAAATTTATGTTATGTTACAAAATTATGTTTTATATGAATAGAAATATTGTGTAATGTAAATAGTGTTCTGTATAGAGAATAGCAGTAAACAATCAGTAATTGTGTTGAATTAATTGTTATTACAATATATTATTTGCAAATACTACAAATATCTTTTCTTTCAACTAAAAATACATCATAATTATTTGTAAGACAATAATCATTTATAAGCATATATATGAAAAAGGTTTTTAGATACAAAAATATCTTATAATTTTAATAATAAAGGTTTTCTATGTTTTAAAGATATTAACAGGTTTTTTTTATAAAACATTTATAAATAGTACTGCAAAGATATATATTTCAATGTACAAGTACAAATATAAATACAAAACATTATGAACCATCATGTCTTATTGTTAAAGTAATAAAATAGATAGTTTGCAGTTGTTATGAGATTACAAGGTCTCTATTTTGAAGGAACTTCTACATGTTTATCTCCATTTGAATGTCACAGCCATTATAGTTAAATTTTGTTTAATTAATGTTAAAATATATTACAATATCTGAGCGAAGATAATTATATTTAATGGAATGTAATGTGCACATAAATAAAAATATTTCTGATTAATACCTTTTTATACCTCCTACCTACTCTAATCTTATTTGAATGTTACTAAAAAAACTTAATTAAAAAGTCAATCTATTTCCCTTCGCTCAAGTAATAAACATTTTTTATTATTCTCATTATTTTAATTAACATTCTGTATATTTTTGTACTGAAACTGTACAATATTCCCTAGAAATATATATGTATATATGTGTGTATATATATATATATGTCTACATAACTTATGCATACCATGTACAAATCACTTTCACAATATAAACATTCATTCGATGACTCAAATCTATAGGAATGTTAAATATTTAACAATATTTTAAATAAAATTTATAAACTGATAAACAAAATTGAAATAATTATATGAATAAATTTACATTACCATTTGCTTTCCATACATATAATTTCATGTTAAATAAAAATTTATGTAAAAAAATATATATAGTGGAATTTGTGCTCTATACAACTGCAGCTTTCAATACCGACACTTTGAAAAATTGAAACTTTTTGATATGACTTTGTTTCCTTTCATTTTCATTCATTAAAATGCCCATTATAACAGAATACTTTGGTATGTATCATATTTGAAATAAAGGCATTTTTTAACATGTACGATTATAGATATATTACATAAATAATGATGAAATTATGAAAGCTACATTTGCACTGACATTTTAGAATATACAGTTGCAAAATTAATAACTTTCAAGGCCAAAGCCGATCAAAAAATTCTTTGAAGGAATCATAAATCATAAATGTTATGCCAACATCTAAACATACTCTACTTAATCTTGGGATAGTTCCTTTATAAAATGCCATTGGACCTTCATTGATCCATATTTGTTTCACACAATCTATACTATTCTTATATTTTGAAGCTTCTAGACCCTGAAAGTATGATACACATTTAGTGAAGTATATTAAAAATATATATATATATATATAATTATATATAAATAATATATAATATATATAACTTAATGATTATAAAAGAAAAACATATTTACCTGCATTCTAGTTTTTACAACATCAATTGGAGTATTTCCAAAAACAGATAATGCCCCAGCACATGCACCAAAAAATCCAATAACTACTTTTGGTATAACTACATCTTTATTTCCACCTTTATACCAATCTTTTAATGTTTCCATGGTACAAAATCTAATTGCTTGGTTTGATCCTTGCTTTAAAATTGTAGGTGTTAGTCCTTGATATATGCCTCTGAATCCTAGCAAGTAAAAAGTTATATTTTTTATTTGTACTAATATTAATATGACACTTATAACTTATACAGACTGTATAATGTAATAACAAATGTTTAGTAGTATATGATTGAATGTCACAATAAACTTATTGTGACATATATGACATTACTTTACTATCATATATGCAAATTGAGAAGCACATAACTAATATAACTTGACCTCTTTACATAGCTCTTGATTGGACTTGTTGCACATATGGTTCAAGGGGAATTTACTTGTTTTCAGAGCATTACTAAGCATTTAATTAAGCGATAACTAAGCTTTTAGTTCTTTTTAAAATCATACTTAAATTAGATTGTAAATGTATGGATCAAAAAATTATATTTATTGACTTGAACTCTATAAAATAATATATATTAATATTCTATTTACCATATTCCTTAATAATCATCCTTACTCCATGAAAGAATCCTTTGTATTTTGGATTAGCAGATCTTTGATCATTTATGAATTTTACTTTAATTGTCTCCATAGGAGTAACTGCAAAAATAGCTTCAGATGCACCTGCACATAGTCCTGCTATAAGACTATTCTGTGCAGTAAGTTTTCCATTTGAATCTGCTAACAATTCTTTCATTTTTTCAAAGGAACCAAAGCGTACAGCTGACTTTGGTATTGAACCATAAAGTAATACTGAAAGACCCCTGTATAGACCAAAGAATCCACGATTTTTTATGGTTTTTTTCACACAATCCAATATTCCTGAATATTGTTTACCAGATCCAGCTTTCCCATCAAGTTGTAGCTGTGTTTTTACATATTCAGTTGGATAAGTGATACATATTTCTATACCGCCGGTAATACCTCCTAAAATATATCCATAATTTCATTAATATTTTATTATTTAAAAGATTGATAAAAATTGGTAAAGAAGTACTCAATGAATCCATTTATATATATTTAAAAGAAAAATATATAAACAATTTCATTTATAATCTTTAAAACAAAAATTTTTGTACTAGCGCATATTTCGAAGGTTAAATATTTCTCGATCTTTGAATCTATCATGTGTCGAATGCGCTGACTCAGTTTATCTATCTTTGTCGCTCTTCTAGTTACTTACACTTCTCTCTCACTTTCAACTAATGTGTTTATTTTCTATAGGACTATTCCGATAAATAATAAAAAGCACTGAACACATATTAAAAATGAAATCATTAATACAAGAAATGATATAATAAAAAAAAATGTATTTTACCAGCCACAATTCCTTTAATACCGCTATGACTGACAGCCGCTGCAGCTCCAGTATCAGTAATCCAAGGTCTACGAGGAAAAGGATTATTATGGAATGTTGAAATTGTACTTGTTTGTTGCGATGATTTGTATATCAATGAACTGATATCCATGTTTGAAATTTGTTTTCGCCTGCCAATACTCTTGCCCCGTTAAGCATCAAATGTGAACTGAGTCGATTAATATCCGTACATTTCAGTGCGTATTCCCCTTCCTCAATCAACTTCTCTTACTCACACTTTATAGATTGACAGTCCTATATTCGATACTGGATCTGGATACGTAATGATAATTGAACAGGCGATTATGGGTGGAGTGACCGAAATTTTTTATATCAGTAATACATTTTTCCAATACATGTCTGTCTATTAATCAGTCAAGTTTAGCTTTTTTTATAAACTACAATTCAAATTTATAAAAGATTATAAGCTACTTTAATCCAAATTCTATTGCATTAATTTTTATCTATAAATATTATATTTTTATTTATATTGCTAATTGTACGTAATTTATAAGTATAACAAAATTATAAGTAAAACTGTATGATTTAAATAGCATATTTTTTCAATAAGTTAGAAATTTTACTTAATATTCTTCTATCTATCATGTTGATATTAAAATAAATAATTATGAAGATAACCAAAATTGAGTATTCAAAATTCAGAATAAAACGAATGACTAATTAAGTAGATAAGACGAATGTTATTTAGCCATATACTTTTGATTGTTTCATTACTGTAAAACATTTTTAAAACATGAAAGTCTGGATTATAGTAAATAGAAGAGATTAAAAATTACTTATCAATATTATGAGTGTTTCATTACATGATCACATGACATATATTTCATAAATAGTTAAAATTAAGTTGATTATCAAGACCTTTTTTCTATTTCTTTGGTTATGTAACATCAATCACGACATGTAAGTAAGAACATGCAAAGAGGGAGTGATTATAAGAAGATAGAAATACTTTTTGATAATAAAGTTTTATATTAATTAGCTATATTGTGATATTGGTAAATGTGTAAATTTTTATTAAAATGTATTTTATTCTCTATTTAAATTTTGATATAAGGGTTTATTTATTATATTTAAAGTTTAAAAATCTCTAAAAAGGATATTTTCAGAATAAATCTACAAGTATAACACCGTAATTTTTTATCGTTATAATTTACATGCATTACCATCCAGGTGTAGTGTTTGCTAAACGTCTCATACGCCTGGAACAAAAAGTATAAAAATAGTGTAATTACATATTTATTTTATGCATATTATAGTTGTTGAATTATATAACGTAATAGTTTTTACCGCGTATTTCTATCTTGATCGCGTATTTTCTTTTCCATTTCTGCATCTGTTAATGTTTCCAAAAATGGAGCCCATTGATCAGCTTCTGAAGGTGGTCTAAAAGGTACTTCCACAGTAGGTAGAGGTGCTTCAGAAAATGCATAGGTCCTTTGGTGCCATGATAATTGTCCTCGTACACTAAAGTAAATTTGATTAAGATATACTAATAAATTTTATTAAAATATTTTATAAAATATTCAGATTACTCATATAGCTTTCCTAGAAATAAGCAAAGTGCTTGAGGCCAGTCAGATGCTTATTACGAGTCGGGTATACTATTCAGTTTGACTTTGTTTTCCAATGGAACAAAAAAGACATAGAACGAGCGGAAAGCTCAAAATTGCGACAAATTAAAAAGTGATTGACCAAGTAGGATATAATACGCCAAAATCACTAATACCAGAGTGAGAAAGCATTGTGCATATTCTCATCCTGGTGAGTTCAAATAAAGAAGAAGGAATAACGAGTTGTTCATTTTAAAGCAAAACTGTACTTACCTGTAAGCAATAGCAGTAACAAATTCTCCACCAAGTCCTAATTCAGCACACAGTTTCATTGCAAACTTCTCAGGATTATTTTCTTTTTCAGACATATCCCATTCTACTTGATCTACTAAAGATGTATTTCCTACATGTATGTTTAACTTAATTATAACTCGTTGATCACACTGATCTTCTAAAATTGTTTCTTGTGGAAAAGCCTCTATTTGTTGTCTTATAGCTTGTGCAATGGCTGGTACAAAGGTTAGTGGATTTAAATCTAAATCATCACATAATACTTCAGCAAATTGTTCAGGAGTTATGAGACTTTCTAAAAAAAAATTAGTATTTTATTGTGATAACATATGATTGTATAATATATAATTGGTACACAGAAAACCATACCATTTTTATTCCACGTGAAAGTATCTCTCAATTTTTGTCCTTCAATTTCCATATCTAATCGAATTGGAACTAACATTTCTTGCTGTGCTGCATTTTCTAAGTTTGCTGATGGATCTGTGTCATCAAAACTAGAAAAATACAACAAACATAATAAATGTTATTCAAAATTTATTATAGTATTAACAATGTTCTATGTTGAATAATACCATGTATAAATCACCTTTTAAAGAATAAAAATCATCTGTTAAGTATCTGTTTTCATATAAATATGGAAGAGATTAAGTATTTACCATAAAGGAAATGTTCTGACTTTTTTATTATGTACTCTGTTACGATTAATTGGTGTAGCTTGAGGTACAGCATCCAAGTGTGAACTATTTGGTAAACTAGGCACCCAAGGCATCGATTTTTTTGATTTTCCTTCCCTAGGAGCTGGAGGTTCTGTTGAATGTACTGATACAGCTTTATACTTATCATCATTACCCTCGATAATATCTTCTACTTCACTAGCTCTTAAGAGAGATACACTAGATGCAAGTACATGTTGACTTAAGCCAAGCTCTACTAATTTTTTACGTTCATCATTTGTAATGGATCTCCTGAACATTCCAGGGTAACGTTTGTATAATGATCCTCGAAATAGGCGCAGATAATTGCCCACTTCTGAACCAATACAATAATATTCTCCATTTTCCTCTACTTGGAAACTTATTGGTTTATCACCATATGTACGTAATGCCATGTTTATACTTTTCTATAATCATACATATATATATATATATATATATATATATAAAAAAACCAAAAATCAACAACTAGTTATATAAATGTAATGTAATAATTATCCTTAATCATTTCAATTAATTGCATGCAATTATTTTTATAATGTAAAATATACCAGTAATTAAAAAAAAAGTTAATCAAATATTTACATAAAATACCAATATTCTTCAAGATTTTTTAAAGCTATTAATGCATAAGTATAATTCATAATAGAATAGTTTCAACAATATATAAAATAATATTGTTTTATATTATTGTTTATTTCGTGTACCTACCTGTTTAGCTGGTTATTTAACACTTTTCATCTGTCACGGTTTTGTTAGCATTATCGCAAATTTAGTATAAAAAGTTTTCTTTATGATTGGTGATCCATAATATACTAGTTTTTTTTCAGTGAACAGTATTTTACTAAAACTAATATATGTAAGATCATATGTACAAAAAAGCCTACCTTGAAAAAAGAATCAACCGTTCAAATAATTTCGTCAATTGTTACGTATTTTGTGTTCATTAGGTATGATAATAAGATCAGAAGCCTAAAGCTACGTTTTATTGAAGCAGCATTGGCACCAATATTTTTGACCTGTTCTCAATGGTATATCAATATTATCAATATGATTACAAAGCAACTTATAATTAATGAAAAAGCGACTAAATTTAAAATTTTTACATTATATATATTACTTTCATAAAAATTTAATACTGTTTATTTCTTTATATAACATCCCTAGGAACTCATGCTGTTTTTTCCCTAACAATTATTCCGGAATGTGGTAACAAGACAAGTTAGAGGGGGTCAGAATAATAAACGTTAGGCGTGTCGGCGTCTGTTTTTAGTACTTTAACAGAATCCTGTACTAAATAAGTAGCTTTATTATAATAATTTTTAATGGAACTAATATCATATGTAAAAGAAATGTATTCTTTGTTTTAAAATGTCAAAGCAGCAAAAAATTTCAAGCTTGAAAAATGCTTCGTTGTTCATATCATACCATTTTATAATTCGATAAAATTTCAATTTTACGTTTGATACATTTACGTAAGTACATGTGCTTGGTGTTCGGTCACGAGTGGAAGAGGGTATGCTCTTATGGGGTAACAGCAGGGCGGTAGCCTTTGCCGGGGAATGGAGACGGAGAGCGTAAAATCGGGGGCTAGCGAGCATAGCCATAGCCATCATAGCAGAACTTCTCAAAAACATCATCGTACTCATAGTTCTAAATCTCATCACAGGCAACATTCACATAGAAGTACCAGGTACTTTAGTTAATCAAAAGAAAATATAACTTAGCTGAAGGCTTCTTTTTATGACCTTTTTGTTAACATAAACATTTTTTTGAAGGACAAGTCGTAGTCAAAAGAAAGAAAGACACAATTTAGATTCCACAGAAATGGCACCTTTTCAAACAACTGTTAATGTAAGAGGAGATAGTGTTGATAATTTGGGTCAAGAAGTTATAGAAGTACAAATTTTACCTCAAGATGAAAACTGGGGTGAAAATACTACAGCTGTCACTGGAAATACTTCTGATAGATCAGAATCAACTGAAGATGTGAGCCATTGGCCAAATGAGAATGATGGATCATTTAGTTCCTGTAATCGATTTATGGGGCCGGTTATAGCAATGATGCTTGGATTAAGTGCTTTTCTTAGTCCTATAACAATGGTTATATTGCCTAAGTTAGGATTTTTTCCTGATTCTACAACTGTTTTAACTATGCAACAAAAGCTTCAATTATTATCTTGTAATGCTGAATGTAAAGGCCAATTACTAGGTTTAGCCTTTAAATTGGTGCTATTAGGTATTGGGAGTTGGGCTGTGTTTTTACGCTCAAAAAATGCTACTATGCCACGCATATTCTTATTCCGAGCGGGAGTGTTGCTTCTTACTACATTATGCATTTGTACTTACTGGTTATTTTATGTTGTTCAGGTACATAATTTTATTAACTTTCAAGATCTTCTCAACTACAGTATTTTTATATCATTATAAATTATAGGTTACTGAGAGTGCTAAGACTGCTGCTAATGGTGAAATAACAGAATATAAAAATTTAGTAAATTATGCAGGTACTCTTGCAGATACTCTACTATTCATACATTATATTGCTATATTGCTAATTGAAATTCGCCATCAACAGCCTATCTTTTATCTTAAAGTAAGTGCACTTCATTCTTGTGTAATTACTTCTTTATATTTATTCTTAGTACATTGTATTTATAATAATGTTGATATTTAAGATTGTAAGATCACCAGATGGTGAATCCCGATCTTATGCAATAGGACAATTGTCAATACAGCGAGCAGCAGTATGGGTATTAGAAAGATATTATACAGAATTTCCTATTTATAATCCATATCTAGAAAGACTCCCAGTATCAAAATCTGGTAGAAAACAGTCAAGCTTCAAGTTTTATGAGGTTGATGGTGGAGTAACTGGCAGTGTTCAGTCACGAGGAGGTAGTGGTGATAGAGCAGTCATAACAACTCAAACTCGTCGTAGAGATTCCAGTCACAATGAACGTTTTTATGAGGAACATGATTATGAACGTAGAGTACGAAAACGTAGAGCAAGATTAATCACTGCCGCTGAAGAAGCATTTGCACATATAAAACGTTTGCATTCAGAAGTTGAGTCTACTCCAAATCCTGGTCCTATGGATCCCATGGAAGCTGCACAAGCAGTATTTCCATCTATGGCAAGAGCTTTGCAGAAATATTTAAGAGTTACGCGGCAACAACCGCGTCATTCTGTTGAGTCTATTTTAAATCGACTTGCACGATGTTTGGCTCAAGATGCAGCACCGCGCGCATTTCTAGAACCCTTTTTCGTAACCAGCCCTGTTCTTTCAAACGAAAAAGAACGACAGAAAAGATCGCATCATTGGGCTTTAGTCTGTGAAGGAGAATTACCTTCACGACCTCTCGCAAATGGTTGCGAGTTTCAGTTACGACAAGGTGAAGTAGCTCTGTTATGTACAGTATATCATTTACCTCATTTTCATCTTACAGAACAGCTCGCACATCCTAAATCTAATAAATTCTTACTAAGATTAAATTCCGAAACGTCGGTTTAGTAACATTATAAAACCAATAGCTTTTTTCGTTTTAAGATAATTTACATTGAAATGCTGATATTTGTAATGGAAACAAAACTTATTAACCGTTTGAGTCCCAAGCAGCGCGATATTTAGATTTTGTGTTGAAAAGTCCCAGTACATTTGAATGCTACAGACGACTGACGGTATTTTGTATTTCATTGTTATCTTCTCAGTAATTTTTATTGAACAAAACTTGAAATATTTATAAACTAATAATACGCATATATAATATAAATGTATTTCATAAAAATAAGAAACATAACGGGCGAAACATAACGGGCACTAATGCGCCGCTTGTTTCTCTTCGTAATCGATTAAGACAGGCGCTATCACACTGTTCGGGATTTTTCGATCCTGTTTTTTCAGAGACCTCTGGGACTCAAACAGATAAAATTGCGAAATTTTTTACTGTATATAAGTGAAGAAAATTACAATAATACATATTTAAGTACTGGAAATTAAATACAATTATAGAAAAAAATTGATATTGAATCATGCAAGAAGATAGTACACTTAAAGATAGCTTTTTTAAGGGAATGAAGTTTTGGAAATGATAAAATAGTTTTTTATGCAGAATCACAGAAAGTGTTCATCTCAATAACGTTTACATATCTTCTTTAGTGCAGATAATAGCAAAATAAAAGGACAATATAACTTTTCCATTTATAATTGTAGATAAGAGAAATTCATATTTTTATGATGTGAACACATCTATATTTATTTATTTCATTATTTTACATATTATTACTTATATATTAGTAAAATAAACTTACTATATTTTTGGGTAGTTTTATATCAGTAATTAAAACCTCTTAATTATTTTTCAGTAAGTATATATGTAATTGGAAAACTAAATCTTGAATATATATCCCCCTGAGTAAATTTTCTTTCTTAAGGAACTTTACAGAATTACTTTAATGTAAAAGTATTATAAAATGTATTATAATTAATACATTATTTATTGCATATTTAACATTCATAAATTTTCGTTATATGAAAATTTTTATTTATTGAAATTTATTACAACAACTTTTGCAATAGATAAGAGAAGTGTTTAAAATGAGACACTCTGGGGAAAAAGAAATACATTCCTGCACGCAATATATTTGTATAATGTGCTGTTCAGTTCATACAAATACATTTATAATATGTAAGGTGACATATGTATCTATTACTTCAAAGGTATAATATCTTCCATGACTTAAAGTAAATTAAGTTTTTCTTATGATATGTTCTATATATATAAATTTACAATATAGAATATATTACAGTAAAATTTTATAAATTTAAGAATGTGGTCATTTTTAGTTTATTTGAATTTATTATTATCAATTTAAAGAATGTTATTTTAAATTCTCAAATATAAAAAAGATTGCAGTTGTGATAATCAAATAAGACTTCAGAACAAAACATTTTTAGAAATTTATAATTTTATATTTTGTGAAAGACATGCAATCAAATGAGACTATTATGAATTATAAGATATTTATATAATTTAAATATCGTATAATTTTTCATTAAATACTGAAGATATGTTGCAAAATGTCTGCTTAAACTTATTTCATTATTTTAATACATAACTTTACTATTTCATTGCTATGATCAAATATTAACTTCCTCATATAACTGTTGTTGAATACTATATTCCTACATTATTTACATCGTTTATATATAATAATATTGAATGTATTAATTTCAACATTTTTTGTATATCTTTTACATAACTTCTACATTAAACTGTTATTATTCTATATTTCATTTTGGAAGGCTGATAATATTATATTTTGTTTGAGACTATGCTTGCTATTAGAATACATGTACAGTAAATAATATGTGTAATACTTTACATTCACGTTAACATATGTATATAAAGTATATACATCTCATGAATGTATAATGAAGTGATTAATATAATAATGAAACTTGTTATACAAAAGAAGGTTTAATGTTATAATACTCATTTTCTTTGCATTCCTGTTTAATATCTAAATTAGGTAGTAAAGAATAAAATTATTTGATATGATGAATGTATGGGATATGATGAGTAAATTTATATATGCTTAAAAAATTATTTATAACATATCATTTAATAACAAAAAGAAATGTATGTCACTTGCCACTGCTCATAAATTGTATTATTTAAGATTAATCGTATTATTTAAGTAAGTTAAGGATATTTATGTCTAGAGACATAACAATTCTTCTAATGCAACATTTTGACAAATATATGATGATGTGAGTAGCTTTATCTGAGATTTTTTATTTATGTTGTGAGCTTGAATGTATTAATTGGTGAGCAAAATATACTTTCTATGTATAAATATTATTCATTTTAGATATGATATATTGCTCTTCTCTCTTTCTGCATAGAATGCAATATGTGGATAATTTACTTTTATAGAGTTTTGCTATATTTTGTAGCAAAAAAACAACGCACAAAATGAAATTTCATCTCATAGAATGTAAAAAAAGATAATAAAGAGATTTGATTATTACTTTAATTTTTGTTTATAAATTTTAAACTATTTAATCCAAAAAAATTCATGTGTAAAATATATGTTTAAACTAATACATGAAATATATACGTAATATAAATAAAATCTTCATTTCCTATACTTTATGTATAATATTTCTTATAGTTTCGAATAAAATAATGTATATGATAAAAGTTAACATTTTTATTAAAACCCAATTTTCTTTATTATAGCAAGATTGAATTTTTAATTACTTATTTATTTTTGTACAATATAAAATTTGAATATACTTAAAGTAATGTAATAAACATTTCCTCTGACATTACTTTGTTACAAATGTATCGAATTTAAAAATTTAATCGATATATTTATGTATAAATCGATCTTAACTAAGAAACGTCACGCGCCAAAAGCATCGCTGAATCCATGCTGAAGTGCTGAATCTCACGGATGAAGAAGTAATATAGAGCTCCTAATATGGCTAGCGATAAAAAATCAGGAAAGTCTTCAAAAGGTACGAAGTCTACCACAGAAATATTATCTGAATTTCAAATGCTTCGCAATGAACAAAGGGCAATGGCCAATAAATTATCAGAAATGGAGATGGAACTAAATGAACACAAGTATGTGTTTCCTAACCTATATTCTTTATTTTTATTGCTTACTATAAATATATTTTAAATATTTTGAACAGGTAGCAAAAATAACTTGACATAAACTTTCATGCCACGAAATTTTAATGAAAGTTCTATAATGAAACAATGTTATAAATTTATTTATAATGTATCTTCTTTCAGATAGCATACATTATCATTTTATTGCTTAAATTTTATTGCTTAAATGATATTTTTTAGGATCGTAATTGATACATTGAAAAATATAGACCCGAAAAGAAAATGTTATCGAATGACTGGAGGAGTTTTATGTGAACGTACTGTAGAGGATGTAATGCCTGCATTGGTAACAAATAAAGAACAGGTTAGAGTTGTCCTATTTTTTTTCATTGTTAGTTAAAATAATTTGCATGTATAATTTTTTATTTTTATACAATTAAAAATACAATACAACATTGAAAATTTGTAGTTAATTAAAGTCATAGATGCCCTAAATGATCAGTTAACAAAAAAAGGACTCGAAATAAATGAATTCAAAGAGAAGCACAACATTAGAATTAGAGGACAACAGGATATGCAACAACGACAAGGTGAAGACAAAGATTCCAAAGAAGCAAAAAGAAGTGCTGTAGTTGTTAATTCACTATTAAGCAATTATTCATAAAATCAAAATTTTCTATTTACAATACATTTCCTGCTTACATATAAATCACATTTTGGCACTTATTTATTACATCTTCAAAGATAATATTGTATTTGAAGTATATAAATATTCAATTTTCTAATGATTATGTATTTTTTGATTTTTCTTTATCGATAAAAAGTATATAACTTCAAATAATTGCTTTGGTCTTCTATAGCCATCAGTTATTACAATTCAATTACAGGATTATTATCAAATCAATGTATAAATCAGTCACTGAAGAATAGTAAATTGAAGCAAATTTAAAATTTATAGTAAAAATTTTAAAATACAAGGATTGTATCACGAGTTGCAATTATACGAGAAATCTGAGTTTCCAGGGTCGGAAAATTTAGACGAAATCGAATGAGATCTTAATACATTTGTATTGTTCGGATTCTTGAAACTTTTGGGATCATCTGCTTGTGCTTAAATTCCAAATTTAGTCGTGGGATATCGAAAAATATAAGAGAATCGAGGTCTTGTCAGATTCTTCATTTCTATGTTTATAAACGAAATTATTTTAATCATAAAAAAGAATTAGAATTTATCTTAATTTTGAGAAAGTTTTTTAAATATTTGATTTTGTATTATTGTCATTTGTTATTAATCAAATGTTTTGTTGTTTACTATTTATAAAAAAATGCATTAATTTTTTATCACAAGTGAAATATTGTTACAAGTAGGTTTAGATTAAAGTTTAATTATAAAATGGAATAGTTAAATATTTGTACAAAATAACTTTATTTTGTGAAATAATTATACTAGTGCGCAAAATATTATCTATGAAGAATTAGAGCCATATAGAGGTATATAAAGCTTTCTAAAATTGCTATGAATACAACATAATGTAATTCTTCAAATTCCTTTTGATACAGTTCTGTGTATAAAAAACTAGCTCCACATTTTTTTTATAAAGAGGATATTATCATTAGTAATAAAATATATAAATATCTAAATTTTAATTTTTCATAAATTACTTATGAATAGAGAAATTATTATAATTACTTTATAAATATACGCTGTTACAAATTTACAATTTACTATTTATAGTAATTATAAAGGCAGTAATAAGCATCTAATACAGTATGTTATGTAAATATAAAAAGGCACCATTGTATGTATTATGGAGATATTAATGTTCACGATTCCATCTCCATACAGTAGCATCATCACAAACACATAACAAAACTGAACCATCTCTACTTAAACTTGTTTGACGTATAGGTGCAGTACATCGCGGATGCTGCAGTGAATAACAGCGTGCTTGACCAGGTTCATCAACTTCTAAGTCCCACACATATGTTCTACCCACTTGATTTCCTAAAGCTATTGTACGCTGGCAAAAATCCATTGAAAATCGTATAAACCATATATCACATTCCTTAAACTCAAACCTATGTAAAACTGTAGCGCTTGTTTCTCCACTGCGTAATTGAGAATCTTCAAGGCGTCCTGGTTTCCAACAAACAATACAATTTTCACAAGATTTACTTAAAATGAAGTCACCATACCATTTAACACAATCAACATAGTTACGATGAACATCCCGTGTAGTAAAATCTGGAAAGTGTTGAAGTATCGAATCAAAAGGTCTTCCATTACGACTAGGGTTACAATAGTAAGACTGCTTTATTGCTTCTTGCATATCTGCCTTATCCAATGACCATAGTTTCAGAGCATGATCCATGCCACATGAAATAATACGTTCTCCTTTCATATCAAAGTCAGCACTTAAGACTTCATCTCTATGACCTTCAACACCACCAAATATTGCTATACATACATCAGTTTTTATATTCCATAATCTAAGAGCATGATCTTTTGATGCTGAAAGCAATATGTTTGGATCTCTAGGATGAATTTTTAATTCATTTATTGCATGTCCATGTCCAATATAATGTTTGATGCAAGTCATAGTTACAGGACTAATAACTCTTACAACACCACGTGATCCAGCAACTGCTAATAAAGGTTTCCCAGAATCATCATAAGTCCAAGTACAAGTGTAAAAATTTTCTTCTGGATCAGGATCTGCATAACACTGACGTAATCTGATATTTCCTCCTTCTGGACATTCATAAATGCTTACTCGATTGCTTCCTACTGAAGCAAATATTAATGGTTCACCTTCTTTTAAATGATGATTAAACTGTACTCCAAACAATGGCTGTCCATGATCTTCTTTAACACTGCAGCAATATTTGTAAAGAGGCTTGTCTGTACATGGTTTATATTTTGCTGTTTTACTTCTACGCCGACCTTTTCTTCTATAACGAGCACTGCGGGTAGGTGTATCACTGCGATGGGTACCAGCAGTTGAATTGCTGCCAATACTACATTCAGTTTCATCACTATCGTTCTCACTGTCTTCTTGACTAGAAGCATATGCTTGATTTTTACTATTTGTTTTCTTCATTTTAATATTAATAATATAAGAACAGGTTTTACAAAATTTTATATCAGTAGACCAGTAGTAGGAATTCCACTTGTTATGCCCAATATAGCTTCCACTAAATTCAGTATTCTATTACTTAATTGAACACAAATTTGTGGTTTCTAAGAGGAATATAAAAATTAATAGAATAATTATAAATTACAAAAGGAAATATATACATATACAACTTACAAAAACATTAGCAGATAAAAATCGAATATTGTATTTCTCTCGTATTTTTGCTGATTTGTGGGAAGTCAATCCCATAATATTTGAAATTCCTCTACAATTTACAAGGCATACAGCTCCAGAAATTATATAATGTTCATCTATGAGACTTATATTTGTTTCTACCTTGAGAAATAATTTTCTTCGATATTAATATTATATCATAAAGACTATAATTGTTAGACATATATACTTATATCTACTTACTTCGGATAAAGATTGTGTAGTTCTCCAATCAAAAACAAAAATAATGAAATCGATACCAAGACTTAAGCTCGATTCTATGATTTTAGCAACAAGTTCACACTGATGTACGACAATACGCCACTTCCTTTCTTTTGCACTTTTATGTAATCCTTCAGAAACTTTGCGACATAATTCTGCTGGCCCTACAACCTATAATTATCCTTTACATTATAAATATTATTTCATATCAACAAACATTTTTTAGAACTCAACATAACCTCACTAAACTGAATATTTACTATTTTTCAAAAAGATGACAGAAATGTGTATAAAAAGTAGTAAGAAATTATTACATTACTTAATAAAAATACCAAGATATTGTATTTGTTGATATATCTTATTAATAATACTACATAAATATCATAAATAAATACAACAGCATGAAATATTTGTAGAAAACAAACGCAAATTAATTGAATTCTTTCAAATATTCTTTCCTGCTTAAATGTACAAATATAAAGTAAAAACTCTTTTAATAAATAAAAAAATATCTTAAATAACAAGAAATTACAATAAAATAATATTTATATTTTATTCTTTTAGCTATTATAATAGTTATGTATTATTTGAAAAAACTTCTAGGAAAATTCTATAAAATAAAATAAACATGTAATAATTACATTTAAAAATTACAAACGTACCAAAAGAGAAATTAGACAATCATTTCGGGATACACCACAATTAGTGAGTACCCCCGCCATGTTTCCATCTTTGCCAACTGTCTTACCGCTTGCCGCCACTGTTGCCAGGAGAATTCTCTCCTCAAATTCCTTTCCCTTTCGACTCTCGAGAAATACATGACGTCATATTACCTCTACTACCATTCAACAACTTAAATGTCGCTTGTGTCACGTGATATGAATTTGTTCCTCCACTCCCATTTGTACACTAACTCTATTACTCCACTAACTTTATTACTGCCAGAGAGGAAATAAAAGTGCTCATACTAATAAATTTGGTTGTTCCCGGACTAGTGCTACACCATATGGCGAAGAGCTGAGGTTAACTAAAGTTAGCATATACAAAAACCTATAAAGTTAGCGATCTGCCCTGTTTGGTTGCAATTTATCATATACAAGAATCTATGTATTTAAGCTTAAAGTTAGGGATTTGATCTGTTTAGTTACACACTAGCATAGACAAGAATCTTTTGAGTTCCACGCTGCAAGAACCTATTTAATTGTGCGGTTATACAGAAAAGTTCATATCTAATCATTTATCCGAGATAGACAAGTACGAGAATGACAAAATAACGCAATAATGAAACTAATTATAAATTTCCTAAGAAAGAGAAATTAATTGTTTACTATATTTTTTTAGAGAAGAAAGGAGAATATTCTGTTCCAAACGATAATGAATCAGTAAAATGATGTTAATTTTAATATTTTTCCATACACCATTTAAATTTAACATTAATCTTCGGCACTTGGCGTGTATATTTTTTCATACACTGTACTGGCATGAATATTTTTTCACCGTTGCATGGAACCACGTATTCCTTTTCCTCAGTATGTACGCCGGTGTTTGTTGAGACGAATTCAACTATCTTGAAAAAATAAAAAAGTTTGAATTTTGAGTTAAAGATCTCACCTTATGGCGGGCCTTTAATATTTGTGGATCACTTTGATTGTCAGTCTCTCCTTCTCTTTCACTTTCATTGTCATTTTCTACGTCTAATATGTCTAAGACCTCAGTTTCGAGAAACAGAATGATTTCTACATTTCCATTATTGCAACACTTAGGTCCCGATTTTTGTACGATTATCAAATGTTTCCTGTATTATCAAAAAACGCAACAATAGTTGAGAAAGAATTGTGCCTGTAGACGAAGGTGAAGACATACAGTACGGGCATTTTAGACCATTTTGATGATATCTTAGGATTTACAATAAAACAATTACATAGCGTTTCTTTATTGAATATCTACTACTGATTACAGAGATAGTGACAAATTTTTATATTAAAACTTTTATATTATTGATCCATTTTTTAATGAAACTTTCATCAACATATCCGTGATATTTTTGTAATTAAAATAACATGAAGCACGATATAATTGGTTAAAAAAAATAAGAAAGAAAAAGTTTCTTCGTAAACGAAAGACGTTACAATAAGCAGAGAACGCAGGTTTTCGCCCGACGACTTCATGTTCCTGCGCGCCCCGAAATTTCAAAGCGAGCTAGCGAATTCTTTTATTCCTACATATGGCTCAATTTCTTTTTTTAACAACTGATAGCTTGAATTATCTGATATCTTATCTGAAATGTAATTGCAACGTAACTTTATTTTTATTCAAAACCGCATTCAAAACTGTAAAAAAATATTAGAAGCGAATTCAAGGTAGTCATGTTCACAGCACGTTCTCTAGATTCGGAAATGCTGAACTCGCGTGGTTTTACTTTGACGTTCGTCCATATCGATGATTGTATCAAGAATACTCGGAAAATCAGGCGTCGCAGTTACAAACGTCGGGGCCGTTGGTCCATGACACCATATGGCGGGGAGTGTTCACTCTTTCTCTTCCGATGTTTAAGGGTGACGAAAGTAAGGCAGCCGACCCAGGTGTTCGAACTTCAGATTTTCTTACAAGTTTCTCACAGTTATTACAAATTACGATGAAATTGTTTACATTCTTACAAACATTAAGGTCCTTTTCTTATTTAGTTCAGAAATTTTTACCCTTACCATATTAAATATTTTCCCATATTAAATACCATATTAAATTTGTTAACGATTTCTTTCTATAAATTGACTATTATTACCTGATTTTGGACCGTTTTGCTGTGAATATGTCGAGCGTAACAATAAGGAACAAGTTAAACAGTTGAGATACAACAGGACTCCTCACACAGGCATCGATCAGATCGATCGACAGCTCATAGATGGCTTGCAATATTTGATTTTAGTAGTAAGCGTACATGTTACACTACTGTCATTCTCAATATCTTGTAAACGCGGGTTCCGGATTAAGTGGATAACCCTATATGTTATGCCGATATATTGATTTCTAAATTTATCTCAGCTTCACTGTCATTTTATCCTTGTAAAAAATAAATTTTAATTATTTCACGCCAACTTCGTATATAATCGTACTCTGTTATTCTAGAAATAAATATTATTGAATATTTTGGGGAAAAATACGTCTTACTTTCCTGGTTTTATTTCTATTAGATGCATGGTAGTATACATATATTCGTACGGGAAAAGGAAAATGAATTAGAAAAAAGAGAATGAATCCCGACATCTTCGTCCGAGAAGAGGACTCTTCGTCGCAAAAGGTGAGAATGTGATTTCCTGCTGACCGCCGAAACTCTCTTGTTCGTAAAGTAAAACAAAACGATCACTATGAAGTCATCCTACAAAACAATCGTGTTCCGAATTCTACAGTTTCTGAAGAATTAATTTCTTCAATGATTCTAGAAGCATTGGAAGGAGAGCATTGGAAGGAGAGCTTTCCATTAAAAGTGAAGAAGATCCGTGCCCGAGAAGACATCAAGAAAGAAGGGTGCAAGTCTCAAGAGTCAAAAGGAAGGGCGAAGAGCAGTTGGGATTTCCTCGAAGACACAAATTTATACTTGAATAATACAAGTGTAAAATTTGACTTAAACATATTGGATAGTTTTCCTTTATAGAACGGTCTATTGACATAGAGACATACATACATATTAGGTATATCTAATATTTGTGAATATATTTATTATTTTCGTTGTTTTTTGTTAATAAATTATTATATTCTGACATTTTGTACTACTTCTATCCCTGTTTTATATGTGTCATCGTTTTCCCAGACTGCCGTATCTTTGTGTAAAAAATTCATAGATATATTAAATTTTCATAAAAATTTTCGATTTTCTTCTGAAGTGAAATTTTCGCTACCAATGTTGACATAATTTACCATATTTTTTAAGACAATTCATTTATCTAAAATTTTCGTTAAAAGATTTCATATTTTTATTTCATCTTTTGTAATCCCTCTTCTATTTTTTTGTCATTCTTTCGCTAGATACCATATGAGAAGTGTCGTCTGCTTTCAATATAATGTGATATGTTCATCTTAATATAATCCTCCTAATTTTAACAAAAACAATATTCATAGAATTAATAAATAGGAGTCAGTAATGAAAGTAAGATGGATAGAAAGCGTGGTTAGTTACATGATTGCACAAATTAGTCGTTACGTCTCCATGTCCTTACATCTTAGCCTATAGTTAACTGGTTTTTTTATTTTTATCCTTTTCATAAATATACCTGAGATACATACATTTTGTCAGAAATATTATTCATTGCTCACCAATTTATTGCTAAAAAATTGATATTTTCATTTTACTATAACAAAAACATTATCGTGACGGAAATAAATATAATGTTAAATCTAAAAAAATATTGCGTATAAAAGATATATTAAAATTATCGCATCATTTCACTGATTGATTATCGTTTATAGAATATTCTCCTTTCTTCTCTAAAAAAATATAGTAAACAATTAATTTCTCTTTCTTAGGAAATTTATAATTAATTTCATTATTGCGTTATTTTGTCATTCTCGTACTCGTCTATCTCGGATAAATGATTAAATATGAACTTTTCTGTATAACCGCACAATTAAATAGGTTCTTGCAGCGTGGAACTCAAAAGATTCTTGTCTATGCTAGTGTGTAACTAAACAGATCAAATCCCTAACTTTAAGCTTAAATACATAGATTCTTGTATATGATAAATTGCAACCAAATAGGGCAGATCGCTAACTTTATAGGTTTTTGTATATGCTAACTTTAGTTAACCTCAGCTCTTCGCCATATGGTGTAGCACTAGTCCGGGAACAACCATTCAGCACTTGACCGCATGGTGCAGTGCCTAGACTGTGAAACAACTAGAACTACGGGCGTGAGCACTTTCATTTCCTTTCTGACACTAGAATATACAAGGACCTATTGTATTTAGTTCTACCACAAACGAGATATATTCACTGTGATTTTACGCTACAAGAACTTATTTCATTGTATAGTTCTTGTGACTAGAGCGGTATCTTTACAACAGATTTTTGTTAATCTCAATGTTAATCTCCTGTTAATCTCATCACGCTCGTCTGACTTCACCAACTTTATTAGTTGGATTGAATATAATTCCTATACTCATCGCTGTAAATTGCAGAGGGTGATTCAAAATCCCATAAGATGCAAAGTCTAAGCTGTATACTGTATACTCAGCTGTAATCGAATGCACATATAACTAGAGAGAAAATTTTTTCTTTAAGACAGCCAACTCATTCGAGATTTCGCAGTGTTCGTAATCGTTATCTTCTTGTAAAGAGCGAGAAATTGACGCAACTAATATTATTTCGTAATGAATAAATATAAAATAGATTATTTTAAAACTTGATGAAATGTATTGTATTTAATTCAATATTCCCAGCAATTTTAATATTTCTTAAATATTGTGTTCTTTCTCAAGATCATAGATGATTTTTTGTTTTATATGTATTATATGTATATGAATATTATGTATATTCATATGCATTTGTTTTATTTACTTGCTTTTATGTTTATATTTTTTTTATTATTTTAAAAACTAAATTATGTTCTACACCATATCGTTCCAGATCCTATTTATTGATTTTAGCATTATTATTATATATTTTTTTAATTGTACAAAAACTTTAATAAATGATCAAAGAGGTTTTACTTAATCACTTAATCTTAATCACTTAATCACTTTTAGTGATTCGAGTTTAAGCAATAAAATGAAACAGGATTGTCAGATGACATAATTACGGGTATGTGGTCACGTGGCCAGCGGATACAATTGAGATTTGAGACAGAAAAATATCTCTCTCTCTCTCTCTCTCTGTCAATCCTATCGACACGCACTATTCGTGTCCCTTCGTTAGTATAAGCTCTATATGTATGTATATATGGGTTATACACATAACCTCTATGTGAGATTCACGTCAAATACTAATCCTGCGCTGTAAGCGAAACTATAGTGTTTAAATTATTAATTCATACGTTTCTTACATGTTGTTCCTTTGTTATTGAAGAATTTCTCCCTTATTAACGAATATATCGTATATATTTACAATATTATTAAAAATATATTGTATAATCTTAAAAATTTATCGGTTTCGAGATTCATCAAGATGTTGAAACATATCAATTTTGTACTGACATTTCTTAATTCCGATAAATCACAGAAAAGAAAAATATCAGTTATCAATATATCGGATAGTCTTTCTAGCATTAATGACGAATGAATCAATATTGTCCACCATTTCGTATCTATTCGAAAAACAAATTGGATATGAATGTGGTGAAGAAAATCTGTTCATCCTTTCACGAACACACGCGTCAAACACGCGAATCGAATGGAATTGTAAAGTCGGTCAAATGAGCAGACCGACAGTAAATCTGAGTACAATCGTTGGATGTAACCTGCTGGAAGGCGCAGTGATGCCGTGTTGCATGAAGCGTTTGGAATTGGAGTTAAACGGAGAAAGACCGAATCACGCATTATGGCTGACGAAATCGATGAAAAGTTGCTGGAGCAGGTGAAAAAACAAGGAGAAATTGTACGGAAACTGAAAGCTGCTAAAGCCAACAATTTTCAGGTAGGAGCAATTACTTTTACGTATTACAGACTTGTATATCCTTTTTGTCACGAATTTTTTAATGTAACTGTACAGGCGATACCTTCTGGTAACAGTAAATTTCGTCTCCATGTGCTTGAATTGTATTTGAATTTATATTTGAGTTACAATTATAATTGTAATTGTAATAATTGTTTGTGATTAGGGTCTTTTTACAAATGTCTTGTCCACGAATTTTTCGTTTTTTGACTTGTTCTCATGAATAAATTTACCAGCATCTTATGACAAAACATCTTCGATCTTTCGTTTGCATCTAACCTCTGACAGAGACCGTAGTATATCATTTTCCATTCTTCAGGATTCAACGACTTCGAACTTAGAAGCGCATTTAGAAAATATTAACCACGATTTCGCGGATGTCAGTTATGTGTGTGGATGGGTTCCTACTATGAAAGACACAATATTCTTTGATTTCTGCGTAACCTTCGTTAATGATCGGCTCTTCAAATGGCCACATTTGAAAAGATGGTTCACAAACATTCAAAATTTCGATCGAATTGAACGTAACACGTTTCCCGATCCGGAAGGATCAATTACTCCTCTGATGAGAAAGGTTGATCACATAAGCAACCTTCGCCTTTCCGACCGAAACATAATTGATCGAAAGGTGAGGTGGTTGTTCTCTGGCAAACAAAATCGCTATAAATTATATATAGGCATGTTTATAAAAATTTGCACGCATCGGTTAACGTCTCCCTATGAAATTTCTCTTCTTGGGAAACTGTATTAATTGTACATGTTTATATCAGCTATATTACATAAACCATATAATTTATAGCATTTGCTTGCTAGTCTACTTATATGGTACTATTTGTTCTTTCGGCTAGTTTAATAATCAACATTGAGGCAGACTTTTCTCTTTGATTCTGGTTCTTTTAAATGACTGGATCGTTTGTGATGTTGTGTTTGATGTGGACCAATGCCTTACTACCTGCACGAAAATATTACCATGCATCGATGCTTTTGAGGCTAAAGGTACGCAAATTATATAGGCAGTTTTCTGTGATGAACAACGATAAAAAGAAAGATTGTATTAAATATATCCCATCTTTAAAGTTAATTTGAGATCTTCATGTTAAACAAGCATCAATTAATTTTTAATTTTGTGTAGATTGCAGAGGAAGTTACTAAATTATTGGAATTAAAAGCTCAACTAGGAGAAAAAAATGGCGAGGCACCTTCCAAGCTTCTTCTGAAAACACCTAAAGGTACAAGGGATTATGGTCCTGAACAGATGGCACTACGACTTACAGTATTGGATAAAATAATTGCAGTGTTTAAAAAGCATGGTGCAGAAACAATAGATACTCCTATATTTGAACGGAAAGTATGCAAAAATTGTCCATTATGATTTGAGTAACCAGATTTTCTGTTCCATATTTTAAGTAAAAATTATTTCCAATTTAGGAAGTTTTGACAGGAAAATATGGAGAAGATTCAAAGTTGATCTATGACTTGAAGGATCAAGGCGGAGAAATTTTGTCCCTTAGATATGACTTAACTGTACCCTTTGCTAGATATCTGGCTATGGGAAAAATCTCTTCCATAAAAAGGTATCATATAGCAAAAGTTTATCGAAGGGACAATCCATCTACGACAAGGGGTAGATATAGAGAGTTCTACCAATGCGTAAGTCCAATAACATATATTAAGAATAATGCTGTTGATGGACCTATGATTGATATTTGATCTTCTCCATATCAAAGGATTTCGACATAGCCGGGCAGTATGATCCTATGATACCAGATGCAGAATGCATACGCATTATTTCCGAGGCGTTACAATCTCTGGATGTAGGACCTTATACAATTAGATTGAACCACAGATTGCTATTGGATGGTATATTTGCTGCTTGTGGTGTTCCAAGTAATAAATTTCGTGCTGTGTGTTCTGCTATTGATAAACTAGATAAAAATTCGTGGTCAGAAGTCAAAAAAGAAATAATTGAAGAGAAAGGTTTGGATGAATCCAGTACTGACAAAATTGGCATTTACGTGTCGCGATTCGGTGGAATAGAATTAATTTCTGAGCTAAGAAAAGACAGCGAATTAATGAAATACGAATCGGCGACGAAAGGCCTTGAATCTATGGAATTATTATACAAGTACTGCAATATATTGCAAGTGACAGACAAAGTAACTTTTGATCTTAGCCTTGCTAGAGGACTTGACTATTATACAGGCGTAATCTTCGAAGCGATATTGATTGGTAAATTCTTAAAGAGTTTCGCAACGTTTTAAAACAATTTGTATTAATAGAATTCAAAAACTTGAAGAGTTCTTTCATCTGGAGTTATTTTATTTTCTTTTGCAGGTGACGACGTTGGCGTTGGTAGCGTCGCAGGTGGTGGTCGTTATGACAATTTGGTTGGAATGTTTGATAGCAAACACAAATCGATTCCCTGTGTTGGCTTGTCGTTGGGCGTCGAACGAATTTTCAATGTCCTAGAGACAAAGTTGAATAAGGAAGGTGTGAAAACGCGAACCACCGAAGTTGAGGTGTTTGTAGCGACTGCACAAAAGAATTTGCATGAAGAACGAATGAAACTTTTGTCAATTCTTTGGGATGCTGGGGTGAAAGCCGAACAGTCTTACAAAAGAAACGTAAAATTGCTTGCGCAATTACAATATTGCGAAGAAAGTGGAATACCGTTGGCTATAATAATCGGTGAAGGAGAATTGGCTAGGGGAGAAGTTACATTGAGAGATGTTGTGTCGCGTACAGAAATTTCGATCCCCCGAGCACATTTAATTGAAGAGATAAGAAAAAGGTTGTAGAAATATACAATACATTACTCGAACATCGAACATCGTTAATTTATACAGTCTAATAGTATCATACCAAACAGTGACTGTTCAATTCTTTGTCAAGTGTCACTTTTTGCCGATACATTGCACGGTAACTTGCTTGAAACTCGGCACTTGAGGAAAGAAGAAAACTGCGTTCCTGTGTAAACTAAATTATACATAATTTATTGTATCGAATGATTGAATAAAAATACATGGGTATCAAAAATGCTAGATCTTCGAAATAATTTTTCGCGAAATAATCATCTCTTTTAGAAATCGTGATAACTCGACGTCCAGTTTCGTTTTTGTAACGGTCATTTGTAGCAGTGAAAGAAAGCAATAGAAAAGAGTAGGAAATAAAACTAGTAAATAAGTATAACAGTAAAAGTAGGGATACTTAAAGAAACTTAATATATTGATATCGATGATATAACGAGAAAAGAACGTTCGATCTCTCTTTTTCTTTGCAATAATCTCTCTCCTCCAATTTAAATTTCAATCTTTTGTTTCCTTAAAATTGATCATAACAGAAAGCGACAGCTTTTGGGAAACAATTATAAAGTTTCTGTACAATGACTAAAGACTAAAAGTTTCTGTACAATGTATATACATATAAATTCTTCGTTCCTTGTTTATCGTCATACCGTCGTTTGGTCTTTCATTTATCGTCTGAGATTTGCTGTACTTCGATACAGTCCGAAGGACAGTCCGACTGTAAAATGAGTGCAGATATATGTAAGTTTGACGTTCAGCAAATACCGCATGTCACGATTTATTAATAGGCAAGTGCGATCCATGCTTTTCGACTTTCAACTCTGAAAGTGAATCAAGCGAATTATTTAGAGAAACGTCAGCTGTAAAAGGATTACGAACGATATTCGTAATGGGGTTCTCTATTTTCACTTCCACTAATGATTCCTGTAATTCCTGTAATGTATCAATATCGGTAAATGAATTATAATTGAGAGTAGAGTCATTAGTAGTAGAAGAATCGTTCGAGGATACCTGTTTCTCTGTGCTGGATGGAGCGAATTTTTCTTCGTTGTATATATCTAACGGGGGACAAGGAGTATGTTCGTTCAAATGATTGATATTCTCGGTCGAGGCTATACTTGAAGTGGGTTGAGTATGTGGTTCAAAAATTCGCACGTTCTTTTCTTCGAGTCGAACAGGATTCGTTAAAGCACTTTCTTGCGAAAACGACGAATATCGTTCAGCTGAAGTACAAACCGAAGACGCAAACTGATCTGAATTTTTAATGGATTTTGCGAATCCGTCATTTTTCAAATCTTCTCTCTCGGATTTATTCGGAGATATATTTTTACGATATTCTTTTGCATCATAATTATGTTTCTTGCCATTACTGGACGATAGATCAAAAGGCTCGGCTCTTTCTTTGAGATCTTCAGCGTGAACGTCGCTCAAACTGAAGGCTCTGGCTCGACGTCGAAGATTCATTTGACTGATTTGTCGTTGTAACATCCCAGCCTTCCAACGAGGTACAGCTTTGAGCGCAGGAACGAGAGCGGCGGGATTATTATCTATTAAACATCCGTTCGGATTTTGAGTAGGTCGTAGCGAGAAACGCCGATCGTTTAAAAATGATTTTATTGGCGTTGAAAGTCCCGGTGCTCTCTCTGTTGAAATAAGAGGTTCTTTGAGTGATTCAAACAAAGACGTTGATCTACTTTCGTATGGCATTTGCTGTGAATCCTAAAAAAAAGTGAAAGTAGGTAAGTGCAAATAGCATGAAACGCATTGTCACGTGAAAGGACGGAATAGGATAAAAGGCGACGAAATTGAGGATTCCTTTCGTTTTCGAAGGCAAAAAATGTTTTAATCGATTCTTGGTGGATCACCGAACTCACCGATAAGAATGGTGTATCGTTCTTCGGAGGCGTTGGAGGACTAATGGGTGTCGCCACTGGTCTTAAAGAAAATCTTCTCGATTTTGTAGTAGTAGGTGCAACGAATATCAAACTACCTCTTCTCGACTCTCGTCGGTTTTGAGGCCAAGGGAGCTTGTTTTCGTTCGAGTTTGCATTAAACTCTTGCGTAATCGTATTTTGATTACTTTGAGTTGTCGATGTAGGCGGAGAAGGGGAAAATAACGTGAACAAACTGGGAAGTTTCGGCGGTGTCAAGGAAGCGGTGCCCATTTTTCTTCGAGGTTGATTACGTTGAATCTGATCCGTGTTCGTAGCTGAGATCCAACTGTCATTCGTAACGACGCTCGCATGAAGAGCAGTGAGGGCTCTCAAAAAATCGGCTAAACTGGTTTCCTCGAGCAAATTATTAGTAGTTTCTGTATTAAGATTGCTACCTGCACCAGTATGAGTGTAATAATGTCTCCGTAGATTTGAAGTGGTCGAGTCTCGTCTATCATCGATCGCTACCGATCCCAATGGGAATGATTGTCCGGTCTCTCTGTTAATCTCGTGATCTAACTCCGAGTTCTTTTTTTCTGAACTCATTGAGAAACGACCTTTCCAAGGAGCAGACGAACCCAGTGCTTTGGAAACAGATCTTGTTAATGCAAAGTTACGAAGTTTAGAAAATTTTCTTTCTTTAATGCCATGTTCTTTGCCAGATGATTCGCTTATTCGCAATTTCATCAATTCATGAATTTTTTTAGCTGCCGTCGGACCGGACCAGGTTCGTTCCGTGTTTCGATCTTCTTTCTTCGTCTCGTGTAGTCTGATCTCACTAGCCGCTCTTGAACGAGGATTAGCAAAGCGATATGCTGGTATTTTTTCATGGCCGATAGTCCAGAGTCCAGGTCCAGTACTGGACGTGTAAGTTGGCTCTTCCTCCGAATATAATTTACTGTTATTTTCTTCGAGCCTGTTACCACGATATCCGATATCTTGGCTAATGAAAGTTGTCTGATTCGAATCATCAGCTCCAGTATCCTCTGTAGCTGGTGGTATGTAACCAAGAATATTAACCAATCTTGCCAACAATTCTGCTGGCTGAACCATCGCATGAGTTGCGAATGTTGCCGTTTTGTCGATTCTTTGAAGATCAGTCTCAGAAACGACGCGAGTTATTTGATCTTCCTATGGAGCAATGAAAAACATGTGTTAACAGTGATTGTTGTATTACTCAAATGTTATCGACCGGGCACGTATTCAGAAAAAGAGATAGCATTTAGATAATAGAGAGAGGTCCAGATAGAACCATCGTATAAAGTTATTAGAGCTCAAAATTTATAAAGTGCTTATTATAGAGTTTGTGATCGTATTTATCATTCACTTTTTGTCATATTAGGTTTTCTTCTAACCTTTTGCATATTATAGACAACTTTTTTGGCGTTATATTTTCAAAAATGGTGCATCGCAAATTTTTTACCGAAGAAGGAATTTTTGATGAATTTTATGCAAATGCTTTGTTTGATTGTTCGAGTAACAATACTAGTGATTCGGAAAATGGTTGTTCTCTATATATTATAATAATTCTATGTATTAAAATAATATATTATAATAATTCTAATTCAAACGTGAATATTAGATCAACAAAAAACCTTAGAGTTAGTGATCGGTTGTGACACTGAAAGTGAAAATGATACGCACGGTGTTCAAAAATGCACCTTTGCTTCTACAGAAGAATGGATTGAAGGCAACATTTCATGAAAAATAGCAAACGCCGGTCAAAAGGCATTTTTTGCATAAATTCTTCGATCAACAATATGTTAATCTCGATCAAATTACAAGACCATAGCTTTTGGTGGTGATCATGCTCGTATTCGAGAAAATCGCTTACCGTCGGTACCACTTCGCTGTTGGCGCGACGTCGAGGTCTGTTACACAACTTATCTTTCTCTTTTGAACCATAGAGCAAATCTCGAAGATCAGGAAAGCTATTGCTACGTGGAAATTTCGAAGGTGGAATCTCATAATTACATTCATCGATATATACTCTCTGAAATGTATTAAAATATATGAATAAAGTTTTTGAATGCATAATAACATATTAGAGAAATATCGATTCATTATATAAATAAGCATATAAGCGGGAAAGATCGAAGTACAGAATCAGAGATGCGATTTCGTTTACCCTGACTTTAGATAGCTGTAACTCGTTGAAAACACGACGCAGGTAGTTTATCTCCTTGTTGAATTCGTTCCAGATTTTACTTTGTGTATGCTTCAAATTGATCGCTAGTTTATGCTCGATTCTAGTAATCTTCTTACTGCGCATACCTCGTGCGATAAACGTCATAATCATGACAGTGTATCCCAATCCAAACGAAATCCAACAGATCAGGAAAGTCTTGTATAACATAAAGAAAAATCCGCTACCCTTGCTATTGTCCTGTCCTATCGAATATGAATATGAATACGAATACGATGCAAGATCATCGACAATTTTTTCATTACAATTTTCATTACAATTCATTCAAAAAAATTAGTTTCGATCTATTTATCTTATTATAGGGACGTAGAATCCGTGCAGGCACACGTGAAAAAGATTTCGTCAAGTGAATGAGAACGTTGTGCATAGATATATTCTGATCGATGTCTCAGTTTTAGTACAAGCGTATTTCAGTTCACTCAACTTATTGTACAAGTTACTTTTCATGCTAAAAATAGAATCGGCGAAAAAACGTGACAAAATGTTTTCTAACCTGCAACGTAATCTCCGAAACCAATGGTTGTCAATGTAACAAAAGCGTAGTAAACAGCTTCGTCGTAACTCCAACCCTCGTAATGGGAGAAGACAAATGCCGGGAAAAAGATGAACATGATGAAGCCTGGCATCAAATGAGCGAATATCTGTGCAGCCAACCCAACTTTTCCCGTTTCGAACGTTGTTAATTTTCTGGTATAATAGTCATTATGGTCACTCTTGTACGATTTGTACTTCTTATGAGCTTTGACGAATACGTGCCCAAAAAATTCTCCTAATTGTGTTAACAAAATTCCATTCATAGGTATGCCTATCAGACCGTAAAATATCATCAGAATGCGGCCAAGCATGTTCGTCGGAGCCAAATTCCCGTAACCTATATTGCGTATATTTAATAGATGATTAGCCAAACAATATTTGGAATTTTAGTATGATGTCGATAATATTCAAGTTTTTAAATGAAACTCAAACGTTCGCGAACTATACGATATGTTGTTTTGAAAAATTAGTATTTCAGTCCAAATCTTTTACAAATCGATACCGATTCACGATCGCGTAAATATACATTCGTATGTAAGTACATGTATCTTCACTCGCTTTTTCCCTGATCTTTATTGTGCATAAACGTGTAAAAATGTATATATATCGTGTATATTACACGAGTACGTACCTATCGTGCTGACGACGGTGTAAGCAAAATAGAAACTGTTATAAAAATCCCATTTAAGGGGGTCCGTCTCGTTGTCGGTATAATTATAAACCGACTTTCCACAGTACCGTGTCAATTTTCCAAGAATTTCATCGTGATCGTGACTAAGATTAGGCACATAATGTGCGTGAAGTAAAGCTGAAAAACAATGAGCATCAGAGTCTGAATACTAATATCTAATATACTCGTACATAATCTAAATATCTGTAATGTGCTTAAAAATTGGAAAAAATAAAATGAATTTATCATAGGAGAGAGAGAGAGAGAGCGAGAGAGAGAGAGAGAGAGAGAGAGAGAGAGAGAGAGAGAGAGGAATCACAATCCGAATTTAATGATACACGCGTCGTGATTGTGATATAATCAACCAAAATTTAAACTTCACTCGCTCTCCTACACTCTTTAAAATTCGCATGATACCCCATTTAAACTACCTGTTCTCGGACGAACGTTATCTTATCGTTTCACTTTATTCGTTTATCATTTATGTTCTCTACTTGCTTCGAATTAGTTAAGGAACTTTATATGCGTGCGTGTACCGGGAAAGAAGTCACATCAATACAATTCGACAAAGAACACATCGGATAACAAATTTCATACCGTAAAGGTAAAGATCTTCTTCAATTCGTCAGAGTCAATTCAAATGTATTATCAGATTTCTTTACAATTTTTTGATCTCAATTAGATAAGATGCATTTTTGATAATATCATAAAATTAGTTTCGATTAAAAATGTTAATTGATTGTTATTATTGTCTCTGCAACGTATGACAAATTATGTGAAAGTAAAAGCTGCTCGCTCATCGTATATACTGTAATTATCTTCTAATCGACCAAAACTATTAATTTTAATGGTTAATGTCACGATAATGCTAGTTACAAAGTTAATGAAAATTCCAGAAAAAAGTGTATGTTTTGCACAATTGTACATACGTTGTACTTCTAATCACTATGATAGGATAGTAGTTGAAACGTTTTTATTCATGAACATTTACGGTCGGTTTGTGAAGGAAACCGATGAATTTGCTGAACAATTTTCTGAGGAGTGGCTGATCCGAATGATTTCGCATGCTATCGATTTCGTAACTCAGTATTGAAGTAACTGATCCAACGAATTTATCTTTTATCACAATTGCTCATTGTTGTTCAACTGAAGCAGAAAAGAGAGAGAGAGAGAGAGAAAGAGAAAGAAATAAAGAGAGAGAGAGAGAGACTACGACGAATCTTTTTTAAAACTTTAATAAATGTTGATCGGTAATGAAAAAGGTACAATAGATTTTTATGTGCTCATATTATTGGCCGACGATAACTTGCATTGATTTTTTAACTGCCGAATAGCGAATTCATATAAATTATTATATATGAACATTAAATGGCAAGGAACAATTTTATAGGTTGTATTGTTAAGATTTCGAATCATCTATATACTAGTTTGTTCTTTAATTACACGACCGACTGTGCTCACCGTTAATTTCGATGCGTTCACGTTTGGCTTCTTCGACGCGTTCGATTTCTAGGCGACTCTCGATATGGTAGAAAATGGAAGCACCTAGCAACAAGTAAGTCAAAAACAGCATCAACAGGACCAACCATTGTTTCTTCGACATTCTTTAATTGAACGTCTGAAATGAGATGACAATGAAGTGTCAGCAACTACTGCCAAAATCTATAATAAAATAACAATGTCAAATTTCATTGAGTTTCATTGATTCGTCCTTTGCTTTTTAAACTTTTTCTCTGTTGTTTGATACCTGTAAAACTACGACGCTAGTCTACGAAAAGCAATTCTTGATGACAGTACATCCAATAATCCACGATGAAACGGCCGATTCGCAAATTGTCGCGATTCTTACTACCACTGCACTAAAAACAGATTATTGGACAGTCGGGCAGATTACGACATTATCGCGTGATAACTCTTTAGACTCTGACTTTGCGACCTTCGAAAGTCACCTTCTTTTCCCTCGATGTCAACTCCATTAGATATCCGATACGATTCTAAGTGTCATCAACTAAACGTTTTATCAATAATACGATTGTTTTTCATTTCCGTTTTAAGCTTCTTCTCTTTTTTTCACATAATATAAACTCTATCGAATATCCTAGAAAAAGAATGTTAAACTTAAGAATGTACAACTTTCGTGATTAGATATTGTCAAAAAGCATTGTAATAACATAAGAAATCATAAGAGACTTACCTTAGAAATTTTCCTTAATACAAAACATTGAAATATATTTACGGTTCACTTAAATTTGACGACCCTTTTTGTACGACGATTCTTCTTACAATTAGTACAAAGACACGAAACCGATCAACTAAATGACGACAGACGAATGTACTAACTGCAACGAATGAACGTAAGAAAGACTCTTGTTGTAGTATAAGAGATTTTTTCTAATACATAACAAAGATTTGAACGACAATGAAAGAAGAATATGAACGATTTTCAATTCTTACCGGTTGCAAGAACGACGATTCTAATGAGACAAAAGATCTGAAACAAAGTAACTTAATTGTGTTGGAAGTGATAATTATTAAATCGAATATTTTCTTGAATGTAGGTAACACATTATTGGAGAACACTGATCGTTTCGATGGCTGCAGTTGAACTTAGGGACGTTTGCCGCGTGACTACAATTTTCGCAGTTGTCGCGCAGTTGACGACAAAAATGTTCCCTTGATGCTTTTTACGTAACTTGCACGATGTATGTACTTTGTAAAACGCAATATTTCCTGCTAGTTGAAAGATCGAAGGAAAAGATCGATCGAATGCATGATTTATCGCTTAGAGAATGCGTCTCAGTCAGTTATTTACTTTTTTTTTCCATATCTACGCTTATGATTATTCACTGGCAACCAACCACGGTGTAACACCTTCTTCAGTTGTAAAAAGAAAAACGAATGGAAATGAAATCAAAGGAACGGATATTAAAAGAACGTTGTCAAATTATCCAATTGTTACAAAATTTGAGAAATCGATGTCAAACGTCACATATTCAATTTTTTTTATACATGTAAATTTCACCGAGACTGTATAGGTATACAGGAATGCAGTAGCTTATCTTTATTACACATAGAGATTGAGACGACACTAAGGCAGATACCGAATAAAAGTGGATTAAACATCAGTAGTAGCAACAAGAACAAAACATTATTGATAATAAGCTATCGAAAGTTAAATAATATAGTTAAGTGCGATAACGTTTCGATCGAGATTCATATCAATCGAAACGTGATAATCTATTTCAATTCCGAATAAAACGAAAGTACGTACCTTGATGGTTGTGAAATAGAATATGGTGTACAACAGTTGCGATCTGGAGAGTACAAACACGTTTCAATACTGATAACTGCCACGTTAAAACGTCTCCCGATATATCCTCGTTCATCCCTTGCCTTTTCCTCGTGGTTTACATTTCCAATTAACTCTTTGTTTTTGAAATTTCCACTGATGCTATTACTATATCCTCCCCGCTTCAAGCCACGAATTTTTTTAACATGACATAAAAACCGATGGTATGAGATACCTTAATTTTCGTATTATCACGAATATCCTCGATTGCGTACCATTGTTCGTTATTTGTCACAAAAAGTTTACCGAAAAAGTTTGCAATTTTGAAAAATAGCAGGAAATTAAAAAATTTGTAATAACATTAGTGTTATCAGCTTTTCTCCCTCCCTTATTCTTCTGTATCATTTAAATTTTATCACAGCTTAAAGATTATATACATACCTATCACAATTCTATCTTTCTCATGATCCATATTTCTTTTCCAACTTTACAATTTTTGCGAGTTGCTATCTATTATTTTGTCTCATATTGTCGACAGACAAGATAGAAATTAATAGAAATTAGATTTTGCTTTATCTAAATACTATTTGTCGATCGGAACACTTTACATTTATATAAGAGAAATAAGTTATTACCGTTGCTTGCGATTAACGCGTATTGAATGACTTATAGAATGGCAAAATCGCGTTTTTAATAAGTCACCGATATTCGTAAGTTTTAGCCGTTATAACGCATCTTAGTCACACAAGAACTACGCGTAACACGATCATAAAATCTTTTTTCATGAAAGGATAAAAGACAAAAACTGGTCACTTTGATGACCAGTCACGTGCTCAGACTACTTTAAGAAATAACTCTACGCGACCCTTGCTCAAAAGTATGTCATAATAATGCTAAGCGTTGAGGTCAACAACTTTATGTAGAAAGAGAAAAGAATTAAATTTGAAAAATCAGTAAAACACTGTATCAGTAAAAAACATCTTTTTATCTTATCGCAAAATTTCGATCGATTATCGATTTAAAACTAAATTTATTTAAGAAAACCTACAGCGAAACTACTCGAAATACATGCATTGAAAGAATTTAAAGAAAGGAATAAAATGGTTAAATAAATGAGCGAGATAAAAAGTGGAGCAAACGCGGCGGGAATAGAGATATGGACAGAAAGAAGAGAGATAGGTGGATAAACAGATACATAGATAGATAGATAGAGAGAGAGAGAGAGAGAGAGAGAGAGAGAGAAAGAACTGGAAGAAAAAGCAGATTTAACTATTACCACTCGCAATATCGCGTTGGAAAAATTATATCCGACTCAATGCTCACGCGTAACTGATACAAAAATGATCTCTCTTTGAATAATTCAAACTTCGTACTTAGACACGTTAATATAGTTATTTGGTTAGTAAACTCGTGCTAATAACAATTGATGTTGTCTGTACACGGTCAACGAGTATAATCGTTTACAGATAATTTACACATCATGTTCTCTCCTATTCAATGAAATATCCGATCGAGTTCTCATTCACTTTTACCACAAATTTTCTGTGTTTTTTTATGATTCACTAAGTATTATATAGTGGAAGGATATCATAGGATTCTAAGGGATAATATTTTATCAAAAGTATGTCGTTCAAAAGAATGTGTACCATCAAAAGTTCTTGTTTTAATCGTATTTTGTATCTCGAAATTAGATATATGTATGTGTCATTATAAACTCATAATATATCTATAATTCTATATGCTTGTTTTTCACAATATATATAGGGTGGTTGGTAACTGGTGGTACAAGCGAAAGGGGGGTGATTCTACGCGAAAAAAGAAGTCGAAAATATAGAATAAAAAGTTTTCGTTTAAGGCTTTGTTTTCGAGAAAACCGACTTTGAATTTTCGCTCGTACGCGTGCACTTTATCACGTCTCATTATAACGGATCTCACTGTAGATCGTTGTCTCGATGGAAAAATTAAAAAAAAAAAAATTTTTATTCTACATTTTCGACTTCTTTTTTCGCGTAGAATCACCCCCCTTTCGCTTGTACCACCAGTTACCAACCACCCTATATTACCCTGTATATATTACGCGCCTTAAAAATGCGAAACAAGAAATAAATGTACACCTGCTTACGGGTTTTACTCGATGTAAATGTATAACATCAAAACAAATTAAAAAATCTCATAATACGAATAAAAGAAAAGAAGAAAGAAATTTTCAACGAAGTAACTTTTGTACTATTATATGTTCGAGGAGAACGATTCAAAATTCCAATCCAATTTATTTGTTGATAATGACGAAATATATCTTCAAATTAATAAACAAAATGCTCCTTTTTAGACTATCTCCGATGACGTGATGGGCCAAAGTTGTCCTTAATTCCCAATGCTAAGATCGATAGAACTACCAATTATACATACATATATAAAAGACTCAGTAAACAATAGATAATTGAAGAAATAGACAAAAGAAAGAATAGACAATTTCTGTTTCTATTTAATATTCATTGAATGATTTTGAAGACGTATCAGTGCCATCCAAGTTCTATATCTTCAATCTTTATATTTAGTTCTTCGAACGAAGTATCAATACCAGGTTCGTCGAAACCACCGTTTAGCTCAATTTTCTGCTAAAAATAAGACATAAAATATAACAAATATAACCAAGCGTGCTATTATTAAATTCTAGGAATAAATCAAGTTGAAAAAAATAAAGGAAGAAAATAAAAAACAACGAACCTGTAATGCTGCAATTTGTGAAGGATCACCGACCAATAAAATCTGCGTTTCGTTATCATTTAAATCATCGGTCGCTTTGGAAATCTGTATTTGTCCATCTTTTTCTGTGATCTTCGGTTATACCCGAAAATGTAAAAAAAAAAATTTGAAAATTTTTCTCCAAACGTATTCAAAATACAATATATCTTCTAAATTACCTTTAACGACGAATTACCGTTATCTCGCATAATGCTTCCTTTTCGTCTATCTTTGCTTCGACTAAAAGACTCTTGTACAGATTCTTGGCAAAGAACATCGACATTATCATCATTATCGACTAATGAATGAGCAGTTCTTTTGTGCATCACAAGAGTACTACTTTGTCTGTACCTCCTCAAGCAAATTTTACATTCGAACGGACGTTGTTGCGTATGAACCTAAAAAATAGAGAAATATGTTGAATGTGAGGTAATCACGTTATACAAAGAGTGAAGAAATTACTAACGAGATGATGCTTGTAAAGACTAGAATACTCTGTGAATCTCCTTCCACAGTTTTCTATAGAGCATACGTAAGGTTTTTCACCCGAATGAATTCGTATATGATTCTTATAATTTGTTGCACTAGCAAACGCCTTGCCACATTTAGGTTGTGTACATTTGTATGGACGTTCCCCAGTGTGCGTTCTGACATGAACCTAGTACACATGCAGTACACAGAATTTGTTCCATCAATCGCAAACCTGAAACGCTGTATTGCCAAATTTTTACCTTCCTAATATTACTCGTAGTAAAGGAACGACCGCATCCATTGAACGGACATAAGAAGGGCCGTTCTCCAGTATGGGTCCGTACGTGTTTTAGCAAATCTCCGGATGTTTTAAAACTCTTATCGCACGTTTCGTTTGGACATTTGTAAGGTTTCTCTCCCGTGTGCGTACGCAGATGCGCTTTTAAACTGTATCCTGTCGAGAAGCTCTTCTTACATTTTGGATGTGTGCATCTGTATGGTCGTTGACCAGTGTGAGATCGTTCGTGAACCTGGTTTAACGATACTGCTTCATATAATATGATAATAATGCTTCATCGTTTTTAACTAACTGTAATTAAATCTTCGAGAATCAAACAAATTCATTCACTCGGACGTTGGTATTATTTAAATTTACGAATATGGTAGAGCATATGATAGATTAATGAAACGCGCTCCAAACTTACAAGGAAAGATTCCTAACTCGCAAATTTAAAAAATTATGAAACTTTGAAGATATATAGAGGATATACGGGGTGAGTCACCAAGAACGAGCCACCTAAATAGCTCTTTCATTTTCTTTTGATACAAAGAAATATTTGAAACAAGAGTTGTTTAGTTCCGAGAGAGTTACGTGATAAAAAAAATTTTTTTCCAGATGGTCGTATTTACGAGTTTTGAAGATCACCTCCATTTTTTTTAAATAGAACCACGTATTTTTAGTCATATACGATTGTAGCCCTTCTCAAGGTAAATTCAAATATCACAATCATTTAGGGTCAATCGAGATAACGGACGTAATGAATAAAGGAGAAAAATTCATAGTAAGTTCTTCTGAAAAAGTGTATTCTTGGTTTTATTAACAAAAACAAGATCTTTCCAGATATCCACGGTGTACAATGTATGTAGTCCGTTCAACGACAAAAGTCAGTAGACATAAACAAAACACTCGCGTACTAAATACATGATAGAGACAAGGAGCTCCAGCTATTGAACAATCGTCGATTGTTAAGAATTTTAAAAAATCTCGATGTTTCGAGAGATCCTTCTTGTGTTCAAAAATACATGATTCCATTTAAAAAAATGAAGGTGACCTTCAAAATTTGTAAACATATTTACTCGAAACGGCTTTTGTTTCGCACATTTCTCTATATCTCAAAAATTGAAAAAGTTATTTAGGTGGTTCATTTTTGTTGACTCACCTTGTATAAGTACATATTACGCAATTTTTCTTTGTTACCTAAATTCATTCTAAAGAGATAAAATTGACCCTTGAAAATTCGGTTATTTCCCAACTTTGCGTTTTAACTCGCAAAATGTGAGAAATAGAAAAAATGTTTTCAGGCAGAAGTTACTTCTTTATTTAGGACTATCATTATGTAAAAAATGTATATATTGAATTATAACACATAATTACGAAAGAGCCGAATTTTCAAGAGCCAATTTCACCCCCTTAAAGTGAATTTGGACAGTAAAAAAATATTGCATAATACATACCTAACATATAAATATCGCCAAAATATCGCCTAAATATCCTCTAAATATCGCCAAAGATCCATAATTTTTTGAGGGGTGGGGATCTTCCTTTGTTAGTAAACTTTTCTGATAACGGCTTTCATATATGGCATACAATAATGATTGAATCAAGAACATGATTCTGACAGAATTGATATTGCAATTCATTCACATTGTCTTTGTGAAGAAACCTGAATCAACTTGTAATTTGCAATAATGTTGGAAAGAATCTTTACCTTAAGATGATGAGGTGTACTGTAAACCTTTGAACAGCCCTCTCTTGGACAAGGATGTCTTATTCTTGATGTAGATAGCTTATTTAATAAAATCTTGGAATCCTTTTTCTTCAATTTCCCATCTTCAATTTCCCATAAATCTTTACTAATATCAAGATGACCAGCTACCATATAAGCATTACCATCGATAAACTCTACATGAGGATAGTTTTCAACATTTTCTATGGTAGAGTCACGAGCTTGAACTAATGTTGCTGGCTCTAATTCCAGTTGAAGTGGTTTACCTTCTGCAAACTCTGTTATATCTCGGAGCAATATGGTATCTCCACTCCCCAATTCTAATGTTGTTTGCCTTTTTAAATTCATATCTATAAAACACACAAATCTGTGATGTTATAACAAATCTAGAAATTTAATGGAATACAAATTACAGTGATCGATTAACTCTATCAATATTTAAATATTATTCTTTGTACACGCATTAAATCTTGAAATCATGAACAGATAAGTAAAATGGTGGCATCTATTTTGTTATTAATAGAAGCAACATTTTATGTGTATTCCTCTTGTGTGTTGATTAGTTTCTAACCATCATCGTTGAAATTATTGGTAACAAATGCTTGCGTTCCATCAGGCAACGTTACTGCTGTCAAGGTTGTACCACCACTCAATAGGTGTTCATCTAGTGTTAATTCTTCTGTTTGATCATTCCCAGAATTATTTTCATTAATTAAAACTGAAAGACACTCCAGTATATCCATACGATTGTTCTGCAGAATAAAATGACTAGTAAGAGGTATTTTTGATATAACATGAATGCTTCAGCGAATGAATACTGAATAAGGTGTTTCTACCTGTGTCTCGTCCGGCATAGTTTCGACATCTCGAGTCATGAAACGATTTGAAAGTTCTGCGCCTTCTGTTGACATATTTCTCTACAAATCCAGAGCTGCGAACAAAGAACGTTTCGCGATGATCGTCGATGATCCACATCATTATTTTGTGTCTTAGTTTCATGTCCGCAGGTAAGCATCTGTCTTAAAACAGGGATCATCAGCATCAACTCGTTTGCGATGCATTGAAAATTCTATTATAGTGTCTATTGTACCAAATTATTTTTTTACCCACAAACACTGAATATTTTGAAATATGAATATTTAGAACAGTACTCATGCAATCAAGAGGATACACCAATTGATTAACTATTAAATACAACATGTATTCGCATAACGATTATAACGATAACATAAGACTCGCGGCGTACCACTACATCTCGCAAGTAATATTTTCTATATGTACCTATAATTATGCATTAGGAACGACGGTATCTAGAAGTAATACTGATTATTGCATTGGTAATTACGAAAAAATTGAACCGATGAGTCGCAATAGTTATAATTATCGTGAAGTGAAAGACGTATACACGAAAAATTCGCCATTTGTTGATTGAAATATGCCTCAACTATAAATCAAAATTGAAAGTATTTAAGTCGAATAAAATTCGAATGTCTTTTGTTTCTCTCTCCGATTTTCTTTGTCTTTTTTCATCATATAGCGAATTCAACTTTCGATGTTTCGCGCAGCCTCGTAATTTAGTACCAAAGAATCTTGGGAAATATTACCCATAAACTCGTACACCCGCGAAACCTCATGACGGAGAATACACATATATCAAATAACATGAAAGTAATCAATTCAATAAATTTTAATGTCGTAAAAATGCTTAAAAATTTTACGCACCACTAGATAAGCAGTTTCAATGATGATTTTTATTCGAAGCTACATCGTGAAGCGAAAAGACATAATCGATAACCTTCTCCAAATTGTAGTCTTGTATGTTCCTATAGTTTTAGTATAGTTACGTACTTCCCGCTTGACTTCCAGTTCTTATATTTGGTTTGTTCATCACAATCTTGGTATCTTTCATCAACATATTATTCTGAAAAATAATGCTATATAGATGGTGAATGTATCTCTTTAAACGCACGACAACTCATTTTTGAACACAGCCGTATATACAGGACTCGTGGTGGGGGTTAGACCATTGATACTGATATGTATACTCATATTATACTCTATACTTTATACTATAGTCGATTCAAGGCATTAAACTTTAAACTACAAACTAAATTACTAAACTACCCACCTACGTAATTTAGATTTGAGTGGTTGAACGAGGCTAATCAGATAGTACCTATAAACAAAATGGTCATTTAATATTCACGTGATCGATGCTGCGGCTGCCAGTTATTGGCTGCCTAGTGTCGATGCCCGGGGATAAATTTGTAGTAGATTTTTGCCGAGGATCCTTATCCAGGTGAATTAACATTTTTTCAGGAACAAACTGTGAGCAGGCCCTGTTCTGTTCTGTCGAACACGTGCATTTGTTTACATCTATGGACTCATCGCGTTAGACCACAGAGATATGTATAAAGATGGAGTATTCAAACGAATCATGTGTTACCGCTTAATCGTAAGTGGACGTGATATGGAAATAGAAAGAGAATACTGCATAGAGACTCCTGTTCTTGTCTAATCAGGCATGCATGCTGACGCTACTCATTGGTCGGTGCTACACTTATAGTCGACACACTCGGTTGTTACTAGTTGACAATCGTTGCAGTCGCAACAGTCAAATTTTATTTACATTTATGCTTCGTCTCGTTGATCAGACTACAGATATTTATTGTATGTATGTATATGCGTTATTAGACAAGGGCATATGAAGTTTCTGTGCAGTGTGGCTTTTATTCCTATATCGCTTTTTCAGCTCACTCACGCACTCTATCTTTATATCTCGATGTGTTAGACCGACTATAGTATACTTATAAATGGGGTAAAGCACGGCCATATAAACAGATCTCAGTAGAGTCATTCGAAAATTGAGTCGTGAAAAATCTACATGGAAGACAACAAAGTTTTTGTTCTGCAAAACAGATAAGGATGAGTAAAATGTCTCTATCTCTGTCTGAAAAACGATCATATAAACAGGTCTTGACACTCATATACTGAAGCCATAGAGGAAATTCTCTCTGTTGAGGCCTAGGGAAAACCGTCCGAAAACTGAAGCGTAACTAGTGAAAAATCAACATGGAAAGGAGGTTACCGTTCAGACAGACACAGAGACACTTTTCTTATCTCTGTCTCTCTCGCAAGAACATGGACTTTGTTAATCTCCCATATTGATTTTTCACGACTAGACTATGATTCAATTTTCGGATGGTTTTCTTAGCGAGTGTCGAAACCCGATTAGATGATCATGTATATGACCGTGCTTTTGACACTCATAGTAGTTTTTGAACCACTAATTCTCTCTCTTTTTCTCTCTCCCACTCTCTCCCCCTCTTTATATATGTTGCTGATCTAATCTTACTCTCTATTGGTCAATTCTATCGTAACTATATGAATGTTAGGAAAACGAATAAATAAACGTAGCCTACTTTTTACTGTTTACAAAAATATTTTAACAATTTTACGAATTTATTCCGTGCATTCGTTAAATATATGAATATGCAGTATCTATGAGAATCAAATATATTATAGACAGGCGTAAATGCATGCAAGTGCGTCACGCATCATGAGTATGCATATACTTACATAAGTATAGGTGGCACGTATGCGTTATTCCAAGGTATATGGTGTATATGTATCTGTCTATACTGATTTTCATATATCGTCAATATTAACCCATATTACTAATACTAATAGCAAACGGATCAAAATAGATCAAAATTGAAGGTTGTAACTGAAAGATTTTGTTTATCTTTGCTTATCAGTTATTGTTAATAATTAATAAAATATTAAAAATTTTTTGTGATCCGTTTTGATCCAGGCTTAGGAATAAAAGGAAATTTTATTAAGAAGTATTTATGTCAAATAGTGAAATAATAGTTGCTTGATACGGATTTAGTTCATATGATCTTAATTTTCTTGCTGGAAAATCTAATTATATTTGTTTTAATGCGAAACTACAACACGTTGACAGAGTCGATAGAGCAGTAATTCGTTGATTTTTATCAAGGTACAACGATATACTTAGATGTATACTCATGTTCGCCAAACGTATAATCAACGAGGCTCGTGGGGGCTTAGTTGTTGGTAATCGATGCTGGTTTCAATTAATTCAGCATCCAATGTATCTTTTGAGTGAAATAATTATATTGCAAAAAGGTAACTAACAAATATCTTTTCTTCTTTCTTTTTATAGAATTACATATTTCTTGTACACTGTTTGATATAAGGATTAATTATTCTAATATTTAATTGATTAATGAATACAGGCTTAGAATGCAACAGGACCAGTCAATAGACTTTTCACTTTGGACGACAAGACCATTTATAAAATCTAAAGATAAAAGCGATTTTGGTGGGACACTTAAAATGTTTGCATCAAAAAAACAAATGTCAAACAGCACCTTTTACGCGGAGTTGGAGCCTGATGAAGTAATGGATACAAAAAGTGATCTAAATGAATCGAAGAAATGCCAGGATGAAGATTCCAGTCATTCCAACATGATAGCACAAGATAAGAAACAGGAAGATTACGATGGACATTCATTCCATAAAATTGCTTCCTTCAGAGGTTTCCCACGTTTTCGTTCATTTGTAATGTCAGCTGGAAGTTCAATGGAACATATTGACATTGAAGAGAGCGAAGAAAATTCAATGCAGGTACCGTTTGTACGAGTATCGCACAGTATGTTAGAATACAGGAATAGTAGGTAAGTTAATAGAATTAGTTAACTAGGGCCAACTATAATTCATTGCGAAAAATTGAGGAAAAGTATCTTATAAGACATTTAATGTGCAGATATATAACCACAGATAGAAATTCCCGTCGATATGCAGTGGAATCGTATACGATAAGCGAGTCTGAGAGCGAAGAAGAATCCGAAAGAACAAAATCATTAGACACAAATTCCGCGATAATCGTGGATCATACTGATGACTCGGTTCCCAAATTAAAGTCGGTTGATAATACAGCTTGTATAGATTCTAAAAGGAAAAATGCACGTCGAGTTGCAGAAGAATTGTTAGCTACTGAAAAGAATTATGTTAACATTTTACGATTGATCGATCAAGTATTCCAGTTCAAAATCGATCAAGAGAATAGAGCACATCCTATGTTTCCTCCAGAGACTGTTCAACATATGTTCTCTAATATCAAATCGATTTATAAGTTTCACAACGATTTTCTGTTACCCCAACTTCAAGAGAGGATGCAAAATTGGGAATCAGATCGTAGAATCGGAGATATAATGAAGAATTTTGCACCTTTTCTTAAGATGTACACAGAATATGTAAAAAACTTTGATTATGCCATGAACTTGATACAGACTCTTCAAATTAAAGTCGCTAGATTTGCTGCGATTATCAACGAGATTCAAAAATTGGACGAGTGTGCCAAGTTATCGTTGCCACATCATATGTTAAGCCCTATACAAAGATTACCAAGATACGAGCTTCTTCTGAAAGATTATTTGAGAAACCTCACAGAAGAAAATGCTGATTACAAGGATACTAAAAGTAAGGATCTTTCGAGTTCCATTCGATTCGATGAGTTACTTCCGCATAAAGTAATGCGCATCTAGCAAGGACTGGCTTCTATTTAAACGTCTATTGAACGGGGCACGTTTAAATAGACGTCTGTAGATGGCGACGATAATAATCGTAGAATCAAACGAACAGACATGGCTTTCTTTCTCGTAGAGGCGTTGGAATTAGTATCTACTGCTGCTAATCACACGAATGATGCAATGAAGAAGATTGACAAGTTTAAAAAGCTTCTTGAAATACAAGAGAGTATATACGATACGACAGATCTAGTTAGTGCTACGCGGGAGCTTGTAAAAGAGGGTCGTATTGTTAAAATTTCAGCAAGAAGCGGTGATCATCAAGAAAGACATTTGTTTCTGGTATGTATATGCATACCTTAAATATACAATCTGGATGTATGGTCGCTGGTGCATAAATTTGTTGACTGATGCATATAATAAATACTTATTCAATCGATACCGTATATTAGACTTTAGTGATGGAAATGTTCTTTGTTTGTTCTGCCTTTCAGTTTACTGATTTATTATTACTTTGTTCGATAAGATTAATACCCGGGCCATTGTATCGATTAAGAGCTAAATTCCTGATCGAAAATTTGCAAGTGATCGAAGGAGACAACCTAGAAACAGCAAACACATTTTACATAAGAGATGAAGACAAAAGCGTTGAATTATATACGCATGTAGCTGAAGAAAAGGCAGCTTGGCTCGAAGCGTTATTCGACACTATGCAAGAAATGATGAAAAGAAAAGCGAGTCTAAAAACTGGCGATGTGAAGACTCTTGTCGTGAAGACTGATGATGTATCTAGATGTATGATATGTGAAGTCATATTTTCCGTGATGAAACGAAAACATAATTGCAGAGCTTGCGGAATAGTGAGTACCACCTTTTGCCGATGGTATTTCGCAACCATCGGCCTGTGAACAATCGGAATGGAAAACATATTATCAGTTATTAGTTAACATCCATTCACATTTTCCATAATATTTTTCCTATAATATTCCTTTCCTATAATATCCTTTCCTATAATATTTTACAATATTTTACTTGTTATTTGTAGGTTGTTTGCGGTAAATGTTCAAATCAAAAGTTATTATTCGAGGATAACAAGAACATGAGAGTTTGCCGCCTTTGTTATACCGCTTTAACGCAACCGCTTGTTAAATCACCTTCCTCGACATCTACGTCCGGCCCAGTACCCAGTTTATTACAAGTTTCAGCAAGCGCATCGTCCGTTATATCTGGATATCTTATGTTAAAAACACAACCAAGTAAATCTTGGACACGACGATGGTTTGCATTACATGCAGATTTTGTTTTATACACTTTTAAGTCTGAATCTGAAAATATGGCTCTGACGGCAACTCCTATGCCTGGTTTCATTGTTACGGAAGGTATTAAATTGTCTGACGAGGATCCTTTAAGTCACAAGGACAGACCCAAAGCTCTTAAAATGCATCATTCTAGGAAAAGTTACTATTTACAAGCGTTGTCAAATGAAGATAAACAGAAGTAAGTTTTATCATGTATATTTTGATATTCGTATAATATGTACATATACATACATGTATGTATACATATGTAATTACATACAACACCAGCGAATTCGATCATCTATAAGAACGGCTATAAACAGGCCAACTAAATCGGTCGACTACGGTAGAGCTGGTCGAATAATCAACTAAGGCTATAGTCTGTTCAACAAGACGGGGCAATAAACGCAAACAGAATGTGATTACTGCGGTTACGGTTACTAGCTGTTTATAGTCGTCCAAATTTTTGCATTCAGAGAAAGCGACAGACTAAAATTTCTCGTCAATTTACCAACATTCGATCCGTCTATAATCGATCTAAGATTCGTCAAATTTCATTTCAGATGGTTCCATGCTTTACAATTAGCTACTAAAGCAGAATTACCTTCATTAACAACAACGGAAAATGAAGACGCACAAAAAGATCAATTAATTGTCCATACGCGATAAATAATTTTTTCGATCTTATCTATGATATCCAAGTTAATCTTTTACTGCCATTAACGTATAAGATCGCAGAGTGATAAAGTAATCGTTAGTAGATAATTAACACATGAAAGTGGCGTTAACTTATGTTATATAATATACAGATACATGCATAAACAGATTGTTATTGGTATACTGTATGTCGACTTAACGGCGACTACATTGCCAAAACGCTTGTTGTACAATATTTTGTACCATTTTGTTATATATTTAAAAATATATAAGTATATATTTACATAATTGTTTAAAATATTGTATGTATGATATATAATTTTTATCCCAATGATGGAAAACACCAATGGTGTCTTCATTAAATTCTGCAGCAAAAGAATTAATTGTCTTCTAGTGTATTTTGTATATTTCCAGGCCATAATATGAAGTTACTTAGTGTTTGAAGTATTATAATTGTATTGCGGTGGAAAGCCGGTACTAAATCAGATAGATATTATTGTACACTCTATTTTATTGAACTGTAATTGTTTTGCTGTATTTTGATATTTGTTTAATATCATTTATCATTAACATACCACATGTTACTACGAAGGTGCTACAAATTACAAATAAACATTTCATAAAATCGCGGGAGGCCATAGTTACTAGATTATTTCTACATTATATCGAGATAAGAGGCCTGGTAGGGCACTGTTGTCGGATTTACTGTCTGTCACCACGGCTTGTATCTAAAGTAGGCTGTGGCTGTGACAATGATCTTAAATTTAAATTTAATGTATTACTTGTATTGTGTTAGTGGACTTTATGTTAAAAATCGTAGAAGTTATAAAGTAACTTCGAATTTAGATGCTTGGCGGTACTGAGAGATGACTGATCAAAGAACTTAATGAATATAGAGATATATGTGAAATGCCAATGCAAAGAGCTGTCAAAATTTAAGAAATGACAGTGTTTTATAACGGACGTACGTCTAGTTAAAAAGAATAATTATTGTCAAAGATAGAATTAAGAAGATTAAAATTTTATGCAAAGATATTATATTCCATATTATTTATTATTATCTACTTTAGCATTAAATATATGTAGACATAAGAATATAACCTCAAAGCACATTACAAATGTGAATGTTAATTAAATCTTGTCATGTAATATATTCTATCATTAGGTCATTTTATTTTTTCATGATATTATTTGTGCAGTATTATGAAGATATACAATGGAGGTTTCAGAGACGAAAAACCTTGTTAGAGATTTGGACTTAACTCTACAACCTCGCATTTTTCCACGATATAAATCTTGGCTTCCTCTTGCTACACAGCAGGTAATTATTCACATAAAATGATTATTCCATTTTCAGTTTTATAAAATTTTATACGTTATAAATTTATGACTGTATTTATGAAAGTATGTGTGTATGATCATATATCTTACTTTTAATACAAACAAGTTATCAATTACAATGATGATATGTTTAATTTTGTATGTAATCATTTATTTAATTTAATTCTTTTGAAATAAGATTTTTAATTATGATAATAGTTATTTATGTTTTAACATTATATCTGCTTATACAATAAGATTAACATATGCCAATTTATTTCACGAAATATATAATTTTCAGTTAAGACTTAGGAATCTTATACAAATAATAGGATGCAATCTGAAAACAGATATAAATAATGAAGTTTGCTGGTTTTATTATACCTTACATAGAACAAGTATGTCCTCTCCTATATATACAAGCGAGGCAATTGATAATACAAATCCAAGATGGTCAAGTTTAGAAGTACCAACTATATATGCCACCAGCTATTCTACTGCCAGTGGTGAGCTTTATAATCTGTTAGTACCTCAAAAGTAATCATGCACTTATAGGTGAAAAAAATTGATGTTTTGGGATCTAATATATTTATAACTACAATATGCAATTCTAATTAAATTTGTAATATATTTTCTCTTCTTCTTTATTTTTTGCAATAGAAGTCATTGTAAGATTGTGGAAAAGGATAATCATCAATAATGCAACTACTGATCTAACCATATTTACATGGGGCATATCTTTTACTGGTTTGGCATATATCGGCCCAAAACTATCAAATAATTTAGAAACCATATTGAAAGAAAATTCTCTAATTTTTCAATTTCATGGTGGCTTTTTCACTCCAGTATATTGTTTCATTGAAACTCCTGAATTAAAAAGGTATCTACATATAAAGGTCAATGCATCTGAAATAAGAGATAGTTATACAGTGAGTAAGCTTACCAGCTTAAGAAATAAAATGCAAGCATTAAAACAGCAAACGGAATCGGTACAAACACTTCGGATACAAATTGCTTCTGGAGATAACTTTCACCCATCAAAGTATCCACAATCTTCATTAAACAGATTGTTTCAACCTCGTAAAGTGAGCAGGGAGAAGAAGGCAGAGATATTAAAAATACGTAAGGAATTAGAGGTAGCAAAATTTAGAACAAAATTGTTAGAACAAGAAAGAGCAAGAAAAATGGGAGAACTAAGAGTGTTAAATCAGATGCATTCTAATATTATGGAAGAAAATCAAGACTATGGTATCAGCTTTTAAGTGATATTCTTATAATATATGGAGTCTCTCAGCTAAATGGTATCGCCAAAATATCTGCCTTATTTATCGTTACATGAACAAATTTCTGAAGACAAAGTAATATTATTTAAAGGTGCATATATAATTCCTCAAATTTAGCTTCTTTTTATGAGATTTTAAGATCATTTAATTAGTATTTTGTTAAATAGAACTCTAAATTTTTTTTCACCAGTGGATGTGATTCTTCGTTCTCTATACAAAAGTATTAAGATACTTATGTCAGAAAATGCATAACTTAAAAGATCTCTTAGTTTCAATTTCATCAAATGTAATGTATGAAAGACAAGAAAAATATTGACACAAGAGTATCACTTTGTGTCTCTTCTTGTCTTTCATATGCCAAGTTTTACAAAGTTAAGGTTAAAATATCTTTTAAACTAAACATTTTCAAACCCAAGTACCTTAATACTTTTGTATAGAGAATAAACAAACGCATCAATTGATGGATAAAAAAGTATAGGGTTCCATTTAAAAATATACAAATGACCTTGAAATCTTATAAAAAATAATCTTGAGAGAAAGTTCTTTCCACCATTATATGTGCTCCTTGAAATAGTTTGTCCTAGAAGTTTTACCATAAATAAGGTAGTTATTTAGGTAATCCCATATAGCTGAGGCTATATATATGTGTATTATAATTTCAGTAAAATAATTTTAACACATTTATTGTAATCAGGTTCTGATTTAATGGAAAGGTATAGAGAATTGAATAAAGATATTGAAAGATTACATGAATGGCGACAAAATCAAATAGATACAAGAGAAACATATATTCAATTGAGTAGTCAACTTGCACATAGAAGAAGACAATTAATTTCAGAATTAAGCTTAATATATCCTATTTCTCAGGTGTGTAAGATATTTGATAGAATGTGAAGTTTTAAAAAAGAATAATATGAAGTGAATCAAAATAAATTAATGTATTTACATGCTATACAGGGAGGAAACGGAAAATTTAGAATACATGATGTTCATTTACCAGATAGCGAAGATTTAGAATTATCAAATGATACTGTAGTTGCTGTAGCATTGGGATTTGTTGCGCATACTACACAAATGATCGCCAATTTTCTTAACATACCTACTAGATATCCTATTATACACTATGGATCACGTAGTAAAGTTATAGATCATATTACAGAAAATTTACCTGACAATGAAAGACAGTGAGTATTCTACTCTCTATTCATCTCTCTAATTTTTGTAATATATAATTATCGTTTTAGGTTTCCTTTATTTGCTCGAAGTAAAGATAAGCTACAATTTCGTTATGCTGTTTACTTACTAAATAAAAATATAGCTCAATTAAGATGGTACTGCGGCCTTCCAACAACAGACTTAAGGGCAACACTTCCAAATCTTGCTACTCTGATAAATATTAAACCAAATCAATCACAGTATGTTATATTTCTATTTTAATTAAATGATATAAAATATTTTTTAATTTCACAAAATTTATCTTTCCTTTTATAGTTTGGATAATTCGAAACGAACATACTCTACTTCATCTTTGGATATCGAAGTTGGAAATAGTAAACAAAGTATAACACCACCAATGCAAAAAATAATTTTTGAAAAATGCCATCGATCTTCACGATCTATGAGCCAATTAAAAAGTATAAAATCTTCTCTCGGTTCTTCTTTGGATCAAGGTTTAGATAAACCCGTGCAATCCCTTGTTTTAGGCAGTCAATCAAAACGAATTTGTAAATCGGAAGAAAGTGCCATAGACAATAAAACATTGGTACTAGTAAAAGATAGGTCAAGTAATAGTAGTAATGAAACTTTAAATAATGCTATTCTAAATAATATAACAAATGTTGAAAACAGTTCTGAAGGAAATAATGAAACTGCAATAGAAAATAACATTGAAATCATGATACCAACTTCAGTGTCAAAGTCAACTAACATTACAGATAATTTTGACAGTCCTGTAAATATAAGAGATAGAAGCTCAAATTCTATAAGTAGTTGCGAAATGGCACTTACTAGTAGTCAAAATGGGGACGATAGTTCGAACGATAACAACATAATTAAGAAAGATGAAGCTAGAGAATCTATTTCAATTATTAATGAAATCTTAATAAATATCAATGATGTAGATAATACTTTAAAAAATGGAAAGCACAGCGAAGATTATAATTTAGAAAATAAAGCTCCACAAGATCGTGATAATCTTAAAATGGCAGCTAGTGATAAAAGTTCTAGTAATCATGAACATATGCCAGTTACAACAGAAACTTCAACGTATAGAAAAGAACATTTTACTAAATCGTGCTTATCTTTAGATGATATAATATCTTGTGCTTATGAAGAAACTGAAAAGAAAGAAAGAACAAGTTCTATTTGTAGCTATCCAGAAGAGTACCTTTCATCCAAATATCTTGCATCTCGAAAACGATATAATTCTGAATCGAAGTAAGTACATGTTACCATACGTATGTAACAAAGATAACAAAATATAAATATGAAAAATATCAATAACTAAATTATTTCCTTCTATATATATATATAGAAAAGATCGAATAGATTCTGTACATTCTAAAAATTTGTGCCACAAGAACACAAGTAGAGAATCAGTGGTATGTAGATTTATTTAAAAATCTCTATCAAAGTGTTATGGGTAAAGTGATGTAATTATCTTTTTATATATTTCAGGTGGAAACAGAATTGATGCAAACAGCACAGAAATCAGATTGTTATTCGTATGATGAAACAAACAAATGTGACTTTCAAGCATCAGACGAATACATAGATATTATTAGACGTAGTTCAGAAAGTGTATATGCGCGCACTGAAGCTTTAGCTAATAAGAAAACCAGTTTTAAAGTTATGAAACCACGACTGTAGTATTTGCATTCTAGAATCGAACAAAGCGCTGTTGTTGTTGTAATAGTTGGTTTCCAAACGCACCAGACCCAACAAAAGTTCACTGCATGTTGTATAGAAAAGATTAGACCAATATGGACATTATCATTACTATGTGAAAATCGAGAATGTAGCGGTCTCATAAATTCTTTTCATTATGAAAGACAAAAAGAAAGCAAGCAAATTTATATTTATTCTAATTACTTATTTTGTTAAATAGAAAATGAATTAATTATATTTGTTGATTGTGTTAAAAATATCTATCATATATTTATATCGCGTTTCCTCGATTGTTAGGTATAATTAACAATTGAGGTAAGTGAAGTAACGAAGAAGAGTCTATACTTTTTTAATCATAATACAATGGCATTTATTGAGATCATATCAATGACCCACCATATGAGATTATTTAGCATAATGTCATAAATTTCTTCTTATTAATTGTCTCTTCTCGAATTGACAGGCAATATTTCTACTGTGATGCTCCTTTATCTTCCTTGATCTTATGTTTCTTAGAAGATATGTGCAATCTACAATTAAAAGGATATCACTATTATAACAAGTACGAAAAATGAAGGATCATTCAGATGGCATAAATGAAAGAAGTTAATTTGTACTTACCAATATCTAATTAAAGCAGCAACAATAATCATTAAAAATTTGCTTTATATGTATTGACCAATGTTCAAAATCATATCTATCCACTCTTTTTTTAAAGATTCCTTTTAAAAATATTTCAATATTTATTCTGTCATCTTCCTGCAAGCGATTGTAATCTTTTTCTGTAATTTATAGACATTTCCAGATTATTTTGTAAACTATCTTCTTCAAGTGATCCCACGAGAAAAGTTCGCATGGAGATTACGGAATGAGATCTGATCCATCATAATCGATCTATTTGTTGTTGAAATTATGTTCCAACCACTTTCAGGCTAGTGCTGTATAATTTGAAGAACCATCATCGTGTTGGGACGTTGGAGCCAGCCGGTTCGAGCAGCTTAGTAGATGTCAATTGTCTCCTTAAGAATTCACAAATACTTGTACCATATGTATAAAATGACTTTAACGGCAGATCATTGAATTCGCATCAATAAATGCCATCGTATTCTATCGAATGAAAAGATTAATTTGACTTAAAAATTTCCCCTATTATTGCACCAACAAAAAGATTATTTATGCGATATAATGTCCCCTTTGTTTATACCAAAAAATTTTTGTAAAGACATTTTTTTGATAATTTCTATATCTCGAGATATTCCATCGATTTCAGTTAAAATAAATCTATATACATATATATACAGGTTGACCCATTTGAAATTTTATCTCCTCAACTAGGTATTCGTTATTCAAAAAGGTGTTTCAAGAAGAATTTATTTGTTTTCGAAGGGGACATTTCGTGATGGTCACAAATCTTGTTTTTAGGTGAACGCGCCTTTTACATCTCAAGATGATTCTTGTTTATACATACATATATATATAAGATACCTCACGCTCACTTGACATTGACATTAACATTTTGATTTATATCATACATTACTACCTACAGCGAAAAATGTTTCAAATAAAAGTTGAATTATTTCAAAGAAGACAGGTATATTTTGATATGTATATTTAATGTTAGTAGGCTTTGTGTAAGTGAGCGCATGAAGATCAAAAACTTTGTTTTTTTTAATGGAATCATATATTTTTTAATACATTAATCGATGCAGGTCGACATTCTCTGTAAAAAATTATTTATGTTTAAAAACTATTAGTTTAGTAAGCATTTTAACTTTTCTTTTATAAAACCCATCGTATAAAAAACAAGGAAAGATGTAAGGCACTAATAAGTAATAATATGTGCACTTTTGTATTTGTTTTCATTATCTTTCTTACGGTAGCTTTTACAAAATAGAAGTTAAAAAAATATATAAACTAATAACATTCAGTAAATTAATAACTTTCTAATATACATATATGGGTTAATACTCTTTTATAGAGAATGTTTAGTTGCATCTACCAATGTATTAAAAAGTATATATTATTTCATTTAAAAAGATAAAGTTGACCTTCACATAACCTTTTCGCACCCATCTACAAAAAGACATAATATTAGATATGCCTCCCTCGAAGCCACAACTTTTATCTAAAACATTTTTCGTTACAGATAGTAATAGGCATGGAAATCAAGATATTAATATGAGATGAGACACCCTGTATATATGTGCATTTTGGGTACTATTATTTACATATAGTAAATTTTAGTATAATGTGTAAATTTAAATCTTTTTGTGCATACATGCGTCAAGGACGCGCGTGTATTGTATGGGTCGTACAATTAATAATTGTACTTTTTATTAATTATATAATATCAAATAGCTAAATAAGAAAAATTTTCATAATAATGATCCTTACATGGACATAGAATCAATATCATAATATAGGGATCAGTGTATGTTTATATTTTTTTAATTGTGATGTTACTATCTAAAGCTGATATTGTTATACATTCCCGTGTGAAGCTAATATTATTAAGTTGTCTTAGTAACAGTTTCTTCTTGTAATATAAAATAATGTTTCAAAATAATTATATAATATTTAAAACACCTGAACATCTGAATCCAATAGTATCGATTGGTAACTATAGTGCCCAAACTTTACATCTGTCATTTTTGTCATGAAATTTTAATATCTATATAAACTATCTATAAGAGGACCAACTAAAGCGTATGTAATAACATTAAGTATGTGATAACTAATAATTTACAATGAAAAATACTGATACTTAATAAAAAAGGAAAACAAAATTGAAATTTTCTGATGTGTAACTTATTTCAATAGAAAAGATATAAATAAAAAAATCAAGCATGCTTAAATTATGAAATATAAAATTAGTAAACACGCTTGATTAGTTTGACATGGTATCTTCAAATTATTCTACTTAGTATTCTTGTTTACTATTCACAGTATTCTATTTAACATTGTACACAATGAATTACATGTCAAAACATGTAGATACACATATTAACTTACTCAATGTATAATAATGAATGTAAGAACAATATTATATATAAAAAACCTTTTCTTGTAATTTGATTCATATGTGGAACAATTCATATTGAATACATATTATACTATAAGACTAAAATATAAGAATTTTTATTATTGGCATTTTTGAAGATCTTTTTTACTTTTACTATAATTTTAAGAGGATTCAATAAAATTTATGACATTTTCAACATTCTAGTATTTTAAAAAATTATACAATAAGATATTTTATTTGTAACAATGAAAACAAAAATATTTTACTGTATCTTATAGGATTTATGGCGATAATGTCTTTATCTTTGCGTTATTATATTTACATATAAAAATAAATATATAAAATGGTGATTAATTATGTTAAAAGTAAAATAATATATATAATATACATTAAAATATTTAATTTAAAGATTCATTAATTTTAGTCAGTTTTGCACTCACATCCCACAAACGCAGTGCTACATCAGGGTCTAGTTTCTTTTTTGAAACATAAAGTTTACAATCACGGTAAATATTACCACTTTCATTAGATAAGGAAGGTTCTATTGCACAATGTAATACAGTTTGTGCACCCTGTAACAAGAATATAAATATGAATGTAATAGAACATCTATTATAATAAATCAAATAAGAAATAATCCCACAAAAAATAATATGTAACATATAAAGACAGTTACCTGATTTGCAGTACGTAAAAATAACAGAGCAACAGGCGAAAAGATAATATAGTGAAACCAACTCCTTTTAACATTTCTGAATAATCCTGTGTAAGTGAATCCAGGACAAACCATATATACATTAATACCACTGTTCTTTGTTTGTTTTGCAAGTTCAATACCAAAATATGTATTTGCTAATTTTGAATTACAATAGGCAGGATTCATACGTCCTTTGACTACCAAACCTTTTTCGCCATTTAGATTCGAAAAATCAATTGTTCCAGACTCAAAAAGTTTAGATGTCACGATAACAATTCTATTATCAAAGAAAAAGTAAAATAAGTAAATAAGAAATTTGTATTTCGAAGTAAATGTTTTACTTTATGGCAGACCTGCTTGGTCCATTTCGTTTTAAATGTTCCAAAAGTAAATTTGTAAGTAGGAAGTGCCCTAAATGATTTACTCCAAAATGAATTTCAAATCCATCATCAGTTAAAGCATGTTCTTTAAAAGGAACATATACTCCAGCATTATTAATCAACACATGAATCTCCACAAAATTTTCTATTACTTCTGCAACAAATTCTCTGATGGATGAAAACGATGCCAGATTTAATTTCATTGGTACCTGAAAAGTTAATAATATTTTTTACAGATACATAGATCGTATTTGTTATATTAATTATGGGGTAGAAATATATAATTAGGAATTAATATTACCAGTTTTCCAGTAGATATTTGAGTACGTATGTCAGATATAGCATTCTGAGCGGTTTGTAAATATCTGCAGGCTAAAATAACTGTAGCTTTCCTTTTAGCCAATTCTTTTACTGTTTCTTTACCAATTCCGGAGTTTGCACCTGTCACAATGAATACTCGACCTAGTAAACTGTCTGTATTTTTACATTTTCCCCATGTACGTTCACGACATTTTCGAAGTAATCCAATAAGTAATACTATCGGTAAAATGAAATAATACCATGAAGATACCATATTTGCTTTACAAACTACACCATGTGTATGAATTAAGGAATATTTATTTGTATACAATGACTTGTCAAAATTTATGCCCAATGCCGTATTATGAATTAAGAAATAACATGCCGTGTTATGAATTAAGAATTTTGTTTTATAAAATAACCTTATTTATCACATACTTCAATATTAAATTTATACACATATACTTCACAAATTACACCTTGTCTTAATGCAAAAGTAATTATTGTAAATAGATATTTGAGCAATAATCATAATCTTCGTTACACATAATAAACTTTTTTCATATTTTAATATAATAATTGTTTCAATTAAACTATATGATATTCGTTGTTTGTTATAGAGCCATTAATGCAAAATTTATACTTTAAAGGAATGTGTACAACAACGATAACTCTATTTCTATCATTAAATAGATCTGTCATATGTATGCGTTACTGCGTGCAGGCGTGCATACGTGCGGATACATATGTGATTTGTATTCATTAGATAATTCGATGGTTATTTGATTAAAGTTTTTATTCATAAATAAATGATTAAAATATTAAACTTAAAAAATTTTGTTCCTTTTGATACTACTCCATTCGATATATGTTTGAATGGAATTATAAAGGCAGTAAATGAGTATACCTAAGTACTACAGATGAGTACTATGGAACGATTACTCATTTAAAAGTATTTCCTTTTTTATCTGTCACCTAATAATTATCGACGCATATTATCTAAAAATGCAAGTATTAACTTTAGAAACACGAAAGCTACGTGTATATAAAACGCAGCATTCTTAGCGTATTTTACAGGTTAGCATGACGCTATATCGGCTTCTATTCTTGCTTCATTCAATGAATGGACCGTACAGATGGCATCTGATTGGTCCGCAAAGGAGAATAATTAGATACTCTCGACTTCCGCTTACCTTATTCAAAAATGTAGTGTCTTTGGGCAGAGAGGAAATGAGAGTGCTCACGTCTGTAGTTCTAGATGTTTCACAGTACAGGTGCTGTACCATGCGGCCAAGTCCTGAAGTTAACTGAAGTTAGCGTATATAACAAGCTATAAAATTAGGGATCTGCCCTGTTTGGTTGCACACTAGCACAGACAAGAACCTGTTGAGTTTCACGCTACAATTGTACGGTTCTACGGAAAAGTTCGTATTTACTTTTCTATTTGAGATAAACAAATATGAAAATGACAAATAATGCAATAATGAAACTAATTGTTGTAAGTTGCCAAAGAAAGAGAAATTAATTGTTTACTTCATTAATTATTAATAACACTATATTTTTGAACGATGGCACATATAAAAGGGTGAGAAATAGTACAAAATGTCAAAATATAATAATTTATTAACAAAAAACAAAGAAAATAAACAATACATTAAAAAATATTAGATATACCTAATATGTATGTTCCCTTAATATGTGTATCCCATATTTCTATACCAATAGAGTATCCTATAAAGAAAAACCATTCAAAATGTTTGAGTCAGACTCATATTATTCAAGTGTAAATTTGTGCCTTCGAGGAAATCTCAACTGCTCTTCACCCTTCCTCTTAACTCTTGAGAGCTGCGCTCTTCTTTTTTAATCTTCTCGGGCACGGATCTTCTTCACTTTTAACGGAAGGCACTCCTTCGAATGCTTCTAGAATCACTGAAGAAATTGATTCTTTAGAAACTGTGGAATTCGGAACATGATTGTTTTGTACGCTGACTTCATAGTGATCGTTTTGTTTTATCTTACGAATAAGAGAGTTTCCGCGGTCAGCAGGAAACTGCACCCTCGCCTTGCGTCGAAACGTCCTGTTCTCGGACGAAGATGTCGGGATTCATACTCTTTTCTTTAAGTCACAATTAGTTTCATTATTCCGCGACTTTGTCATTCTCATACTTGTCTATCTCGAAGAGAAAAGTGGATATGAACTTTTCCGTAGAACCGTATAATTGTAGCGTGGAACTCAACAGGTTCTTGTCTGTGCTAGTATGCAACCAAACAGGGCAGCTCCCTAATTTTATAGGTTGTTATATACGCTAACTTTAGTTAACTTCAAGATTTGGTTGCATGGTGCAGCACCTGTACTGTGAAACAACTAGAACTACGGTCGCGAGTACTCTCATTTCCTCTCTGATAAAAAATTCTAGTTTATTTGAAGTAAAATTCTTAGATTCAACGTGGAATTGCTGATATCATATATCAGAAAGGAAATCTTATATATGTCATTGCACATGATTTAATGATAATTCTACAATAGGTTTATTTGTTTATTGATTGAAAAAGACACATATATAAATATCATATCCTGTTCAACATGAATAGTCAGCAGAGGTAACAGACGTACATGACTGATCACAACTTTCAGGCATTGCTTTCCGGACGGAATTCTTAAAATGAGTATACATAATTGACGCAAAAGTTTTGCCTTAATTGCTTATATATGTATATAAAACTAATAATGCAATATATAATATACTACTGTACAATACTACTGTACAATAAATAATATGCACAAATAATGCAATATAATATTACAATAGATAATCGATGCTCCGATGAAATTGGTTCTTATACAAACACAACAAAGCGTTTACGCAGGGACTACTCAACATATCGATTGCGAAATTATATTTGATAAATCAGTAAAAATACCTTGTTCAACCAATAAATCTTTTAAACGATAAAACAAATATAAATTTATCCTTATACTTCGTAACGTGCTCTTGACACTGCTGTCTGTCATAGATGCCCGTGTCATAAATCCCAGAAGTTAAAGATGGCCCTATCAGTAACCCAATAACTAAATCCGCTCCTGAACTCAATATCTACCACCCAGTAGCTGATGCTCTTACATCTGTCAGTTGATTAGTACATTGCCGTTCTGTTTACTTTTGCTAACTTCTCGTTGAATAGAGTATAGTAAATGACAACTCTTATCATTCATACACGTCAAAAGTTGTATGTTTATTGAAAGTAGTGTAAAAATTATAGCATAAATAATTTAATTTTTAACTGTAGTAAAAACTAATTGCATTTATCATGGGAAATCTGTGCTTATCTTGTTGCAAAGAATCATCTTCGTGCGAAGATTTAACACCAGATTTGGTAAGATTAAAAAATTAGAGGTTATTTAGTAATATGTACTTAAGTACGTATACAGTGTTTTTATTAACATCTTTTTCATTAATATATATATATATATATATATATATTAATATTATTAATACCATATTGATACCAATAACCAACATTAAGTTTATTAATGTAACTGTTATTTTAACATCTTTTTTTTTATAAATATCTTTTCTCTTATGTATTAATATTTTAAATTGTCATTGCATGTTCAATTTTTGCGCAATACTACATTTTTTGTACATACATATATATTTGTTGCATGTGGTATTAAAAATTTATCTTAAACGAATTTTTGTCGTATTAAAAAATATTTTGTTTTTATTTAGGTTGCAATTCTTTATAATAATTAAATAAATATTTATAACAGTGAAATATCCTTTTATTTCAAACATTAAAGGATTATTTTGGGGCATTAATTTTAGTTACAATAAGAATAATAATTAACAGTAACTAGTAATTCAAGACGCGAATAATGTTGATCTTTTTTAACATACTTTTAAAGATTACTTTTAGCGATGATTACAAAAAGTTTAATACATAAAAAGATACATTTATGTTTAGGAAACTAGGAGAAGGAAGCAAATGGAAGCTGCAGAAAGAAGAATTGCTGAACAACAAAATCGAGGTATTAAAAATACTGATGCTGTTAGAAGGCAAGAAAGGCTAGATCAATTACGTGAGAAGCGCCAAGAAGAAGTTGGGAATAGGAATATGCAAAATAATTTAAAGGTAAGATGTTTAATTTTTTAAAGAAAAGAGTTTGAATCTCTAAAGTTTTAACTAAGAGAACTGAGTAAAAGTTGCCAAATTGACACAGAATTGAATTGTATTAAAGAATGAAATTTTGTTTTAATGCTCTATATATTGTTACATTATATTTAAAACTAAAATACTAATAGTTACTTCATTTGATGATTTTGCAATTGTTTAAAATTAAATTTAAGTAAAAAAAATATATTATAAATAATTATTTTTTTTTATTATTCTAGTGGCAAATTAGTTAATCATAATCCTGGATGGAATTTGCTTCAATATTCAAATTTTCAAAAATATACAAGTTGGAATTATTAAGAATATATACAATGTACAAAAGGTGTATTTTATATGGTACTGTTTATTGATAGAAATCAAAGAAAGTAATGTTGCAGGTCTGCATTTTGCAAAATATAAATATTTAAAGATATATACATTTGCATATATAGACGTATATCTGTTTTCATAGATTATGTTTTTTATAGTGCCTTAAATATTTATATTAATTATACCAATATTTTCTATGATATGTAATTAAAAATGTAATTGTAATATGTGACTAAGTGTGTCACAAAAATATATGCTATATTATGAATAATTATTATTACATCTAATCTAATGACTTTTGTGTTGATATTACTTATATTTTTCATTCTAATATATATTTATATTTCAATATCACAAACGTCTGATGTTTTAATAATCTAATTAGTGTTTGACAAAACAATATATCTTAACTATATGTATATAAGATCATCATGACCAAATTCTTTATATTTTGTTATTATTGTTGGATATACTTTTATTAAGGTTGTATAATATTCAGCACACACTAGAATATATTATTTATTCATGTGGCATATTTAATAAGAAAATTAAAAATAAAAGTCACTTTCTTGTAAAATTTCATTTGATAATAATAATATATATATGCAGTTGTATAAAAAATACAAGGCTAATGATACATATAAAACTAATTTATATTTATTTTCTATAATGTGATAGATACATTGAAAATGATGTACAGTGTAGGCTGGCTGTAGTATTAGTAATCATGATAATACCTGTCATTAAATGTAAATGTACGTTTATGTATAAATAAGTTTGTTAACAGCAAAAGTGAAAAAATACATGTTTAAATGAAGAATATTTGTATGGCGCTATTATGGGTATAATTATTTGTTATAATTAAAAGCCTAATGAATTGTACAATTAATGAAAATAAATAAATGTTTATATATATTCAATGAGTTATTTAGAGTACATATTACTATGCACTAACAACAAATACATGTATAGTTTGTAATCTTTTCTAGATCAAATATAGGATTTATTTAAGAAATACATATTAGTTTGTGAAATACTATAAGTACTAAGGAGGAATTGTTGTTACTTAATTTATAGTTAAAGGAATGATGAAAAAGATAATTATTTATGTTCATAGCTTTTTTTATAAATTGTTTTATAATGAAAAATGAAATATATGTATACACTTTATGGTACAAAAGACAAATGTTACAATTTTCATTCTGAGATAATATTAGTAAGTTTATTTATGTACATGTATATGTACACGTAATAAAATATGTAAAATGTAAAACGTATTCGTAAATACGCTTACTATCATGTCATATTGTTTCAAAGGGGACTTTTCAATTTACATATGTATGTTTGGCAAATTATAATTTTCACAAATATTTATAGCACTGACTAAAAATGTTTTATATTTTTCCTATCCGATGTACTGACCAGGATCGAAAAAGTTTCTTTGTGGACTTACTTTTTAGTTCTCTTCCATGAACCATTTGTACTTCCAATGATGCTCCATTGTTTAATGCTAACCATGTATGAATTTCATCAGTTGCCGCGGAAACGCCTACATATGTAAATATAGAAGAAAATTTACGTATTCATATTTTATACGTACATACAGGGTATCTCAAAGTGAGTAGTAAAATAAGACAGGAATTGATTCTTTAAGCAAAAGTAAGAAAAAAAATTAAATCTTTTAGTTTAACATCTTGTTTTCGAGAAAATTGAGTTTGAAAATTCGTCGAGTACATGTGCATCCATCAGACTGAACGTGTTCAGCACGGACCACAAAGAAAGCGTTAGCGTCTGTTTGTGATCGGGTAACAAGATTGTATTAATATATTTAGCATTTAATTTATTTTAAATTTAATTTGTGTTAAATTTATGTTAAAATAATAAAAACTCTAACATAATCAATATCACAAGGAAATAATTAAACAACGAATCGCCGATCATATCATCATCACGGTTTCGATCGTTGATACAGCTGTACCGAAACAGTACAATGCCGATATTGGCCCGTCAACAAACGCCCATGTTGAACGCATTCAGTCTGGCGACTGCACGCACACATATATTCGACGAATTTTTGAACTCAATTTTTTCGAAAATGAAATTTCAAATGAAAAGAATGTATTATTTTTTTCATTTATTTTTCGTGATAGAATCAGCCACTGTCCAATTGCTCTATCCGATCTAAAATACCCTGTATATCAATTTTGTATTTTCGTATTACATACATGAGAGCGAAAAGATTTATGGATTTAAGGTCACTTTCACTTTAAAATACTTTAATATGGTACAAGATAAAAGTGCTTTTATAGATATTCCGAGTAGAAAATGGATGTGTTTATTTAAACAATATTGAAAAGTATATTCTATCAATGAATGTATTGTATCATATTTGATCTAATTCTTTGAAACTTTTAAATATCTAAAGACACAGTAAGACATAATAAATAAATTTATCATAATGCACGCGCATAGTAAATTTGTTTTTGTGATGATAGTTTAGTAGACAGTTGAAATAATAGTTATGTAAAGTATTTGATCCTTCTTGTAAGGATTGTTATTTATTTACTCATTTCAAACTAGTTTTTATATCAAAGTGCAAAGTAAATTATATTTAAACCTACCTAATAATTCATGAAGAGTGATACGCCGGCTAGCTAATAATTCTTTACTAGCACTTCTGATCTCAAATATTAACAAAGACTGCCTGGGAACATTATCACCTTCTATGTGAAAGTCTATA